ATGGGCTCGGGAGAGGCGGTGCGTCCTGCGAAACATGACCCGCCTGGCCGCCTACTTCTTATCACACCGCTCGCTTGACCCGGATGTCAGCCGCACCAATGTGTCGGAGGAAACACTGTTCGACTGACGACCAGAGTCAGCGTGCAGGCGCTTGGCCCTGTCACAAGGAGTCGCTACGATGAGCCAAGAAAAGCCCCACCGGTCAAACCTTCCCATACCCCGGACGGCGCCGTCCTATGGGGCTCCCGGTCACGGCCGGTTGTGACACAGCCTTGGCTCGTACCCCAGGCTGTAGTGGCGCCTCAGCACTGTGGTGCAGTGCTTTTGACCGCTGCGCCACCCAGCACCCCCTCCTAATTTCCTTTTTGATGACCCGTCATCATTGACCCGTCATCACAATACACATTATCCCGGTGAGGGTTGCCTAAAGTGATTGGCGTTCCCATTTTCCTTGTCCAATTCAGATAATGAGATTAGGTAGATTCCTGGCAGATGGAGTTTCCACTAGCTTGTGTCTCCCACCCCACCCATCTTCTCCTCTCCACCGACCTCAGGCACTTCCTGCCAGGGGGGGCGCTGTTTACCGTTGCATGGCCGCAGTGTGGGCTGCCAGGCTCCTGTCATCAGAGGGCAGGAAATGCAGAGCTGCTGGTCCAGGGGCAGTGACAGGGGAAATATGTTGGGAGCTTATCAATAACGAGTAGGTGGAAAAAGGAAGATCAAATTACCAATTAAGGGCTAATCGCCAAAGTGGTGGCTGGTCTCGCTCCCTCTACCCTCTCTGTCTCCTCTCCCACTCTCCCTTATCCTCTCTCAGATTTTCGTGGCCATCTGCCTGTGTTTCTCAGGGGACCCCTTTCTCCTCTCCTGAGTACTAGACGGGATGTTTTATTAATTCACTTTCACCTGATTACACCCTCTCTGTGAGCCAGCGTACATTAATAGGCATTTAATCAACGTTTAATCAAGGCTGCAGCACAGCGAACAGAGAACCAGGGATCAGAGCATCCTGATCAGAGCATCCTGTTGAGGTCAGCAATAAAGGGCCAATACAGGGACATATGATTGCATGAGGGAGCACGCACACACACACACACACACACACACACACACACACAACAAGCCTCATGACAACAGATACTACAGACAGAAACGCAAAATAATATTGTAAATACACGCCGCAGAAATTCAGCAACGTCGCACACTCCAACAAAGGACTCCCATAGCAACACAAAGAACAAGAACAACACACTAAGCGCACACCAGAGGAACCACAGGTGTCGGAAAACAATGAGACCATTATCCGACACAAGATGGCACCGCGGACGAGGAGATCGGGTTCAGAAGACAATCATGCACACGGCAAACCTATTACGGCCACACAAAAGAGCGGGGTTAGCTCCCCAGCATGGACCGGACCAGGTTAAAATTTGAGACAAAACCAGAGAGCAGCCAGATCCAAAGAGAAAGCCCAGGGTCAGCTATAATGAGAGCTGAATGTGAGCATCCAACCGGTCTTGTTTAATGGGGTTCATCCCTGCAAGGTCTGTGTCCTGCCCCTGGTGTGTGTACACGTTTGGTTGTGGGTCAGGGGGCTGCAAGGGCTCCGTGACCCCGAAATGACCTCTGGGAGTCAGAGGGGACCCCCACTGGCAGGACAGAGCTCTCTTTATACTTTAATCTGGTAGCACAGAGGATCAATATGGCTACCATCGGCGCTGGTGATTGTGTGAGCAGGAGTTAGCGTTCCAGCCATTTTCGGCCCCTCACCGGGTGGCTGGCGCACGGACACAAAGCCATCATCCCTCTGCCACCCCGGTCACAATGACCTCTGGGACGGTGGCACACCACCGGCTAACCTACTTAACATTCATTAGTGTCAAAGAGGTGAACAGATGCTCAGGTCTTACGGCTCTTCTCTCTCATGTTCTCACCATGGGGCTCATTGAACGGAGTTTGACGCGTTTTTCATTTGGGATATGGGAGAGGTCTGGCTTCAGTCCATTCTGCTGTGGATTAAGAGGAGGGCTGGGTGGCCGGACTCACCCTGTCCTGGTGGAGTGCTGAGCAGGAGCCATGTTGCCAGGTGGTGGTGTTGACTGGACGTCTGGTTCGGGCAAGGAGCCTGGTAGGATGGTTATTCTGGTCCTGCTGTTCTCTCTCCAGTCTGTTCCCCCAGCAAGGCTCTGGCCCTCGTCCATTCTCAATGACCCACATGTCCCCTGACCTAATCTCTCCGACCTCTCTCTCTACTAAACTGTAGCCAATATTCACTCTCTGTCACCCCACTGAGTGAGAGGACAATCTGACATCTACAGGTCAATCCATATGGCTCACAAACTCCATACTATAAAAAATGCTCTTTCTCCATGATATTGATATAGCTATCTCCCTCTTGCAGCGACTGAATCAGGTGGAGAGACATGAAGAGGAAGAGAATGAAATTCCTTCCTTTGGGGGACTGATACTGTGTTTCTGTATGTGGATTATTGCTGTTAATAATTACCACCTTGTTAAACCAGTCTAAGTCACTGGTGCATGCTATTTCCTGGGTAAACATAGATGAATACACTATAATAGTAACAAACACAGAGTTCCTTTTCATCATAACTTTGAGGCACATTTACACACAATTAACACATTTCATGTTCCCTTATATGTCCCTCACATTTGGATCAGGTGGGCCCCGTGATCCTCCAAAGCCATGAATGAAGATCGTCCCCAACCAAACCACACACACAGAGGTCAGACCAGAAAACACAAACAGCTGGACAGAGGGCTTTTCAGCCCAACTACAGAGAATAGACATGGATCACGTTCTGGGCTGCTATAACGCTAGAGCATCAATCTCCTAGCCATAATTACATTACAGGGGATATAGAGACCAAGTTCTGTGGAAACAATGGACTCTATCAATTCCCCAAATCAGACCTCATTAGTGTGAATGTGTCCATGTGTGTGTGCCTGTGTGTCTTCTTAACAGAGACCTATCTGTAACGCCAATCAAAGCTTATTATCTAGAGTGTGTCTGTCTTCAGTTGGATGTCTTTTTAACTTAGAATTTGTTTTGAAGGGGACATTTTGTAAAAAACACTAGTGGCATATTAACAAACCCCAAACCAGAGAGTAACAGTAACCGTTGCCCCTAGTGACAAGAGGAGACACTTAAACACACACTGACACATACAAGCTTTCTTTTAGGTAGTTTGACATCTTTGACAGCCTGTCTGAATTTTATGTCTAGTAGCAGTTCTTTTCAATCTCATGAAAAGCGGAAAAATGTAACACAAGTTCTTGTAAATCTGTTTTTCTTTCATGAGCACAGTCCATTAACTTTGTAAAAGTTTACATTTTAGCCAAAAGTCTTTGCCTATATGAACTCAATAAGGAAATTAGTTGTTTTGGACACACTAAAGCTTCATGGGTGTATCTGAGCTCCTGACCTCTTCCTATACATGTCTCTTCCTAAAGCATACTCTCCCCTTGGCTCCCTCCGTTCTGCCAACAGGGGTCTCTGCAATGCACCTTGGGTAATCCAGATGTTCACAATGCCAGTTGCTAAGACACTGCTTGGAAATGCATTGTAAAGGGAAGCACATCCTGGGATAAGTCACTGGCAGTCTGTTTTGTGCTGTGATGTCTCAACACTTCTTTACAATAATGGGTCATTTTCTTTGATATAGCTTATATCATTATTATAGTTATATTACCCTTATATTATGCTTGTCTGAACGCCCCGATTTGAACTGGTGTTTTTTTCTTCTAAATGACACACCTCAACTGATCTGACGTCAGATCCATACCAAGATTGATACTCCATTGCAATCCACATGTCAAGTGTTAAATTAATGGGGTAACACTTTATTTGAGGGTCTGCCTGTATACTGGATAAACCATTAATAACCCTATACCAGTTGTTACACCATTATTATCACCTTGTCATGCACTTTTCTGTTCCTAAACCCCTTATTATAAGAAATGCTAAACAACACGCCTTATGAATTGACTTAATGTAATGTTTTTCTTTTATGAGGTAATTAAGCAATAAGGCCCGGGGGGGGTGTGGTATATGGCAAATATACCATGGCTAAGGGCTGTTCTGGATACAGAACTTAGCCGTGGTATATTGGCTATATACCACAAACCCCCAAGGTGCCTTATTGCTATTATAAACTGGTTACCAACGTAATTAGAGCAGTAAAACTAAATGTTTTGTCATACCCGTGGTATACGATCTGATATACCATGGCTTTCAGCCAATCAGAATCCAGGGCTCAAAACACCCAGTTTATAATAATGTTTATAACCTGTTTATAATCAAACTGTGAAATAATGAGTTGCTAAGGCAATAGCCTCCCAAAACATATGCATATACACACATTACATGCTCAAATAGACAAAGCTGACAAAGCCCCATAAAAATACCAATACAAGCACATTCACGCTGTTCTAAGGGAGCGAGGCCTGCCCACTCTGTGCTGCCCATTGTTGACAGCAAGGCTGTGAATCAAATGGGGGCTGTGACCTGGGCTGGCTCTGCCCAGCAGGACTGAGGGGAACCCTTCTCCCTGGGCTCACTCCAGCCCCTGGTCCCCGCTGAGCCTGGGGCACCACACTGGGCCGTCCCCCTGGTACTGACGTTTTTTCCTCATCTCATCAATCTGTCAGCTTAGCACTGTGACACACTGCACAATATGGTCCCCGTATTCCTCCATTAGTGCCCTCTCTCTCAATATGGCCCCAGTATTTCTATATTAATCACCTCTCTCCCACTGGGCAAGGCCCCCTGTTCTGCCTAGTAACAACCATCAATACTATCCACAGCCCTGCCCATCCTCCTCACAGACTGGGTCACTATTCACTAGAGTCTATATTCATCAATACACAAAGCTGCATGCATTAACACCCATATTGTTCTGGGTCAAAATGACATATTCAAAACTATTCTGTGAGTGTCCCTACCACGGAAACAGCTGGTGCATGCACGTGCACTACTGGCACACTGGTACAAAGTAGGCCTATAAGAAAGAGTGGTATTCAAGAAACCCAAACTTCTGGTCAACAGGCCCTCACCTCTATTCAGTACAAGTTGGACACGTGTTTGGGGGTAACAATCAGGAAGAGAGGGAGATAAAAAGAAAGAAAGAAAGAAAGAAAGAGAGAGAGAGAGAGAGAGAGAGAGAGAGAGAGAGAGAGAGAGAGAGGAGAGAGAGAGAGAGGAGAGAGAGAGAGAGAGAGAGAGTCTCTCTTTGGAGAACCATGCCACTCGATTGGACTCACTTTAGAAACAGACTATTCAATTCATTTCCAAGTAAGAAAAGGAGACTCCAAATTATACATGGAATCTCTTCAATGGTGATTGTCTTTAATAGCAAAAAGGAATAAAAAGAGAAGGCTGTATACATTTGACATATACAAGGTAGCAGGGCATAGTGATTGTTGCTTGCCCAAAACTTTTTTTTCTTTCAGAAAACCCTTTCCTTGCTGAATAGGCACCTATTAGTGACTCCATTTTAGGCACAGGGCTCTTCAATGGCTCCTCACTGTGCGTCTTTATCATAGTCAGGCCCTGAATGCAGGCAGCCCCCCTCCTCCACCCGGGCCCAGCTCCTCAGACTGTATAGATAGGTGCTGGAAGTGTGGTGATGGCTGAGGTGGGGTGAGGTGGAGCGAGGTGGGGGTGAAGTGGGTTGTGCTGGGGTACTCTCGCACCCTGTTTTGAGCTCCAGGTGTGGTGGGCTAAGCACAGCGCTCTGAAGCCACTAAAGAGGGCCCCATTGTACAACCGCACACTTTCTTCGACTGTGTTCTACATGTATTAGCTGATCTCCATAATGCTACCCCCCCCCCCCCCCCCCCCCCCGCCTCCCGCGCCTCAAAACAAGTCAGGCCTCCGGCGAATCGCTGCACACCGCCTTGAAGCCCCTGTATTGTTGCTGGATTATTCTGGAGTTAGACGAAAGAAAGAGATGGAGGGAGGGGGATGTCTGCACTTTATCTCCAGGGGAGACAGAGAGTAACGAAGGAGCTTCTTTAGAAAAGTGAGTTACTGCGGCGAAGGCCCCACAAACACCTGCAAGAAGACAGGCACGCGTAGTGGCCAGGGCAAGGAGGCCCCGTTGTTCATTAAACTGTGCTGCTGCCCCTCTTCCAAAATCTCAGTATACCCCAACCTCATCTCAATCCCTCAATATATTGTAGCCCCCACCCCCACAACAATACTGTAATATTCTACTGTACATCACAATCCCTATACATTCTTCAGTCCTCTAAAAATACTATCCAGGACTACTCCATCAGAATGTCCCCTGGGCCAAGATACTAACATTCTTTGAAAGGTTTGATAATTGTTACTGTTTGTGTGTGAAAAAACATCAGGTCTGTAAAATGAATATCAGAGGGTGAAAGAGCCTTTCAAGAGGAGGGGAGTTACAGAGTTTATGCTGATGTGTGTGTGTATGAGTGTGTGTGTATGTGGTTGAGAATATAGAGAGTGAAGTTGAGAGAGAGGGGCTGTATGATGAATATGGAGGCATTGTTCAGCCATGCTTACCTCCACGGGCAACCATCTGCTCCCTGTCAATGCGTCACCTGCTCGTCTGAGCCGTCTCCACGGAAACCGGGGGAGGGGGATTAGGAGAGGTTATGCCTTTGAAGGGAGGGGCCACAGCGACAGGCGAAGAGGAGGAGGAGGTTGCCTGGGGAGACCAGAGGAAGGGTTACTCAGAGAATGGCGTCCTCTAGTGGCGAATACTGTACGTCAGCGCATCACAATGTTGAATATAGGGCAAAAAGTTTTCCTGGGCAGGTCATCTGGTCAGGAAAACTCTTGGCCCTATAAATAACTGAGCTATTCTCGTGGAATGCTAATGCCAAAATGTAAACTCGCCAAAGTTTGTTTGGAGCTCAATTTTAAGGCTTTCATTGAAGTCACGCAACAGCCAGGAAAGCCGACCAGGTAAAGCAATGTAGTGAACATGACTGTAGTGGGTGATTAGCTGCTGTGAAGTGATGTCCTGTCTGTGTGGGCAGCACAGCGAGACTGGTATATTGTGTGAGAGAGAGCAGGAGGATGTCGGTCCATCACAGGGATCTAATTAAGGCTCGCAGGTACAAACGCTGTGCAGTCTGCCTATGATCGCCACCATGTAAATACAGGCCTCAGCGCAGCTTGAAAGGTGTGTGTGGGAGTTCACAATGGACCTGATGAATGCATCAGCCAGCGGCTGGAGGCCGGAAGTATTGAAACCATCAATGAACACAGGAGCAAACAACACCGGGTTATGAGTTAAACGCTATCGCCACATCAGCTTCACTGGTACGTTACCACGCATTAAGTTAAGTTAATAGGTTCACATCATGAAAATGATCGGAGACGTTGAGAGTAGAAGAAGTTCAGGAGCAAAAAATATATAAAATATGTATATATATATATATATAATATAATTATTGTAAAATTAACTCTGTCCATAAGGTGTAGATAGTAAGTATAGACCCCCCCCCCCCCCCCCAAAAAAAAAAAATGTTAATAGGTTCTCTCATTAACTTAGGATGAAATAACATGCTATTTAGCAGATGAAGAACAATGAACAAACCAAAGACACTCAGTCTCCTGGCTGGGTTGTTCACCTACACAGACAGACACACCTTGAGACAAACAAACATGGGTGATCCTTATACTTTCATGTCTCTGGTGATATCATGGAGCTCAGTTTGGAGGGATATTTCTGTAAATAATACTATGTATATAAAGGCAGAGAGTGGATGGGTGGTGATACTGAGAGGGGTACAGAACAGAGGGGCTGGGGGGAGGGGAGTGAGAGAGGGGGATCTGGCTGTACAGTGCACACACTCACTGCTGAGGAGGAGCAGCCTGCCACACATGGACGCTCACCTGGAGCCGTTCTCCTCAGACCCACAGAGAGACAGGAACACAACCCTGGGGGACAAGAGAAAGTCTGAGTGACAGGTGAAAGTGACCAGGCTGTGGGGAGGAAACACCTATTGTGTTTGGTCAAGAGGGCAGAGAGCCAGAGCAGAGGGATAGGGCCTGCTCAGCCGCCCGCATCCCTCCTAAAGACGAGATCGTCAGCCAGCCTCCACACCCAGGGGCCTTTAATGGACTGAGGGGTCGGTTTAACTCACTCTCTTTACCACATCGTTAACCCCCCCCCCCCCCCCCCACTCACACACACACACATACACACACCCGCGCACACACCCTTGGGTCACCAACTGCCAGGTTAGAGACCTAACCAAACCACTCTCCCCCAGTATCCTTTTATGTTGTGGAAACAGACCCTAAGGCTAAAACTTATCTTATCAGTTAGGTCAGTTCTATTTTAGGTCAGTTCTATTTGGACTGGTGACAGACGGAATTCCTCTTTCAGCCTAAATAAAATCTCCACTATTGACAGCTATATCTGCCTCTCTTCCTGTGACTCCAACAACTTTCAATGGTATCATGGTAGTTTCCTAATACAAACACTGCACTACCACTAAACTGACACTTCAACCAAAATTCTACAGTAAAGTAGACCTTGGTCTCCCACTTGTATCACATGGAGTAATTATTACTCTCTATGAACCTACCTACATTGGGCCTACCTACATTGGGCCTGTGTCCTCCCTGTGCTGGCCTGGGTGAGATGTGCTGTGATCCTGGGAGAGTTGCTGTCAGGGCCACGTGTAGCAGGGAGGTGGCCGGGGGTGACTTTCCTGGGTGTAAAATTCAATTATGCAGCGGGTGAGCGTGTCTGAGCGTGTCTGTTGAGAAGCGGTGGGCGCACGGCTGCCCGTTCCCAGCGTGCGGCGAGGGGGTTAAGTGCCACAGAAAGACCTCCATTATCTGAGTGAGAACAGCCCATGTGGCTGGCCGCACGGCCTCCATTCCCCTTTCACACTCTTTACAACAGCCCTGCTGAAAGCCTCAATGTTTAATTCCCCCCCCCCTCCTCTTTTGCCCTCCACCCCCCTTCAATCTCTCTCTCTCTCCCTCTCTCACTCAGTTCAAAAAGAGTTTTGCACAATGCCAGTGGAAACCCAGAGTAGATTCTTCAGCACCCCTGTGGACACTGGACTGAGGCTGGGAGACAGTGCACATGTGGACCCGATTCACAGGACTGCCGTCAATCAGGCCATAAATCAACAACATCTCTCATTCTCTCATGAAGACACAATTAAGCCTCACAACTCTATAATGCCCCCCTCTCATCTGACTTCTCCCAACCCAGCTTTCTAGTCTAGTCTCTACAATCACACAGACTCTGCAGTCTGCAGTTATTCAGATGAACACCACAACAACATCATTAAATCATAGGTCTGTGTTGCATAATGATAGGGCAGATAATAACTCAGTAAAGGTCTAAGAAACTCACAACAGCAGGAATAAATGTGGGAAACATTCAGGGAATGGGTCCTGAGACAAGCTAAATGTTCATTCCTCACTATTATTCACATGAAGCACCCAACTGACAAATGTCCCAGCCAGACCAGAACACATTTGGCCCAAGGAGTACTTAGTGGGAACAGATGCTCTGTGTGAGACTGAGAGAGAAGAGGACTGAGGCTCTATGGAGTAGGCCGTTGTCCACACACACTCAGCCACTTCACATGAAGAACGAGCAATTGTCTCCATCACCGTTAATGACGCAATGAGTCCCCGATCTGATGTGCAGTGTGAAGAACACATTGAGGAAGCAGACAGGCAAATTAATGAGGTTTAATGACACCGTTATTACAGCATTGATGATCTGTGCAGCTACGCAATGGAATCCAACAGCAGTCATTGGCATGTAATGAGACAAGTGTGTAGTCACTGATATACAGTGAGATGACATATGTGCAGTCTGAAAAAAGGAATGCTCTTATACAGAGGTCCAGTAGAGGTCAGACCCTCTCCTTGCATACATTTATCATCATGTCACTATCCATAATGACCATGAGTGGGTTGGAGGTATTCTCATTGTTAATACCACATTGTTGAATTGTGAGGAGTTGCCCTACGCTATCAAATTATTGTTTGTGGTCCTCTTTTAACAAGGAGAGGTAGGTAACGTTACGCCTACCGTCATTGTTGTAGAGGAGAATTCTGTGGTATATTATTGATAGGCCTACATATCTAGGCCCATTGCCCTACCGTGTTCGTTGAACACCAGCAGAAAGGATGGGGCGGTATGACATTTTCTTTAAATAGCTGTTTTGACGTTTTAAATTAGAGTAATGCGAAATGTAAAATACTTACTGCTGATTCACCTGTTGACAGATATGTTGCCCTGGCACGCGACACACAAAAAAATACAGTATTCCTATACTGCTTAGTCCTATAAGACACTCACGGTCAAATCGTTTTTATTTATTTAGTATATTTTGAAAAGTAATTTAAAACTCTCCGTTTGTTTTTATAGAGGGACGTCACTTAGCAGGCCTCCGAAGTGGCGCTGTATTGAACATCAGCTACAACCTTTTTTAACCAGTTGTTCGGCGCCACCTTGTGGCTTTTAGTAGCGCCATCACATCACTGGACGCTGATAACAGGGCCAAGTAAGCAAAACCGACCCCAAAACATTCATAACACAAAATACCTAAAAAACTGCAAAGAACTTTTGATTTGATACAAGTTGCGTCACTTAATGTCATAACATAGCCTTATATGAGTAGCAGCTATACGACTTTATTGATTTTAGGGCATGCGTCACAGTACAGGCATGCATTGACCATCCTCTTCATCAATATACCTAAGACATAGTCATCTGTTATATCACAGTGACGGCCTACTGAGTGGGTGGAGGCTTGGCAGGTAGTGATGGTTATGAAACGTTGATTCTGAACAAATACCCAGCCACCTCTACCACAGCACTAGACAATAAGAACCAGATGTGCCAATATAGCAGTTTCATAACAACTTCATGGCTCCATAGGCCTACTCGTCGCGTAACAGTGATACAGACCGTAAGGGGGTGTGGTGTCACGTGGGCCAACATGAATGCCTGAAGTTTAACTTGAGTTGCTCAAACAAATTCGACCAAAGCACACACACACATTCAGCAACAGTAGTTTCATACCTGTGCAACGAGAAGACTGGAGGATGGACGCAGCATACAAACAAATTAACAGGAACTATCCCACACTGGACAATGGCAAAGAGGTAAGCCTTTTTTAAACATAACATCTATTGTACACAATAATATGAAATGTGTAATAAATAATATACATTTATGAACGTGTTTATCGCTAATAATAATATAATAGTGATGATAACTGATGTTATCATATTGAATGAGTAACATACATGTATAAACCTGATATTGGCTTATAGTACTAGAATGATGAGAACTGATGGTTTTCTGATTATATTTATTTAATATAGCCATATCATTATTATTGTGCAGTAAATTCCATGTCAGGAGATAGGGAAGGTAACAGGTATACTTGGCATTGGACAGACCTTTTAGCACCTGTAAAACTTGCTATTGTATAAAGTCACAGTGTCATTTGGTGAAAGGGTTATTAGAATGGCAGCTATGTTGTTCACTGTGGCTGGAATAGTCTAGTCAGCGGAATGGCAACACAGACTAGACTATTGTAAACGTCTCATGGTCATTGTGAATAATGTTAAAGGTTAGTGACTATGAATCCATGCAGGATGCGCGTAATAAATACCTGTACAAACAAAAAAATCTGATCCAGAAAAGGTGTGCACAGTTTAACAATCTATTGCTTGAGAAGTAATGATAAGACCTTTACTGTTTGTTAATTCATCACAATAATGGACTGGAGAAATTATAAAGGGATAGTTAGGCATAGAATTCCAGTCCACTTTTGGTTTGAATAAACAGCGAAGTACAGTTCAAGGAATTGTGGATGTCGATGTATTTGTGCAGAGTAGAGATAAATGGTCGATTTGGATGGGATGGTGTCAGAGGTCATTACTACAAAGGTCAGACCGTAAAGGTTAAAGGTGTGAAAGCTTTGCGCTTTGAGAGGTAAGTCCTTTGGAATGCAAAATAACCTGGGTTCTATAACCACAGCCCACACACAAACACATGCACAAAACATTATTTTTTATTGTGAGTGATACTTTCATTCATGGAATATATTAACACAATCCTAATGATATAATGCAGATCTGTTCAACTGTTTGATTTACCTGCGTTCGTATAAGGTTTGTGGGTCAGATTGTGGAGCCTCAGTCATTAGGGAGTGGGCGACATGTGTTTGCAGTTCAGCTAATCAGAGAGTGAAAGAGTGAGAGGACATAAAGTGAGAGAAATAGCCGGTGTAGTTGAGGTGATGCCAAGGGTCACCACGCTACAGAAGGTTCACTTTAGGAGAGCATAGCCATGTCAATCACTCCACTCAGCTTCAAAAACAATCCGTTGCTACAGCATATTAGTTCTTCCCAACACAACCCCCCCCCCCCCCCCCCAAGGCCAGTGATATATCCACTGCACATAGCTATCTAGATGAGAATGTAATCCACAGCCCACCAAATTCAATGCCCCCTGGAATGTGTGCAGTGCTAAGGTCTAGCCCTGGGGGTCATAGGTCAAATTGCTGTGAATCTTGTCTTGTAGCAGAGGAGAGGCTCCATGTACCTGGAGGAAGAGACCAGCACCAAGGCGGGGGTGCTGTCCTGCTTCTTCTCCCTGAAGGAGGAGGTTGGGGCGCTGGCCAAAGCCCTCAGACTGTTTGAGGTAAACCACTCAACATAACTGTGAATATGAATGTACACAGTACAAACAATCTTACATGTGCAGTAATGTACTGGAGTCACACATGCAAAGTAATGTGCAATCTTTATTCTGAAATGCTCTGATGTGTTTGTCCAATGAGCCATTGGTCAAGGACAAATAAGAAGTCAGCCTGTTAGGAGTGACAAAAACCTGTAAAGCTGAAATAGCTGTAAAGCTGAAAGCAGTAATACCTGAAATAGCTGTAAAATGTGAAATAGCTGTGAAAACTAAGAGGTGTAGTAGCTTTCATAGCTTTAAAAGCTAAAAGCTGAAATAGTTTCTGTAGGTGAGAAAAAGAGAGAGGGTGGGTATGAGGCTATTCTACAAGCACAACAATAGGCTATAAGCAAACAAAGTAAACAATGTGTTTTTATCCATTTCATACCATGTGTACCAAATATGAATAAAACAGATGGAAAAAGACAAATCCAAATGATGTACAGTATTTTCAGAGAGTCAACTCCACAGCTGTGTTCTGGACCAGGAAAACTGCTTAGTCACTCCTTCAGGAGGCCATTCATTTTTACATTTTAGTAATTCAGCAGAAGCTGTTATCCAGCGCAATTTACAGCAGCGAGTGCATACATTTTCATAATTTTTTTCATAATCGAACCCACAACCCTGGCATTGCAAGCACCATGCTCTACCAACTGAGCTACACAGGACCATTTATCACTAGCAACTTTACGGCGGTAATGATCAGAAGACGCAGAGAGGCACTAGAAGATCAGACAGAAGTTTACTAGCTGCCATTTGTCAGTCCAAGGGACCAATTTAAAGAGACAGCCAGGGCTTCACACTGAGCTAGCCACACTGAGTCAGCCAGACTGAGTTAGCCACACTGAGTCAGCCACACTGAGTTAGCCACACTGAGTCAGCCACACTGAGTCAGCCACACTGAGTTAGCCACACTGAGTTAGCCAGACTGAGTCAGCCACACAGAGTTAGCCAGACTGAGTTAGCCAGACTGAGTTAGCCACACTGAGTCAGCCAGACTGAGTCAGCCACACTGAGTTAGTCAGACCTTCCCTCTCTTCCCCTCTTTTCCCTCCATGGAAAAATTTACAAGGTACGTAACCAAACACATTTCATAAGACAGCATGTTACCAGTTAGCTCCAGATGTTCGAGGTTACTGACCATCCTCCTGCATCCTGGTACCTGCCTCAGTGAAGGACATGTGCCTGGCTGGCTACAGTCCATAAGTCCCGCCAGTAGGGGTATTTCATACCCTAGGGCCTGCTGAATTGGAATGTGTACAGCTCTGTGTCTGATTTGAACAGGCTCTCTCATACATATAGAACAGTTTGTTCAATCTCTAGGCAGGCTCCTGCAACAGAGGCCAAGGTAATGGGAAATAATGCTCCACCATTGGATACTACCAGTAAAGGTACTGTAGGGTAACTACTACAACCCCAAGTATGAATTATGGACATTTCCCTGGGGCTCCTAAGATACTTTTTTGAGAATTGACAGAATTGACATTAACATTTAACTAGCCAAACGTTAGTGGAGAGTTTCCAGCAGGGTGTGAAGGTGTTAGAGGCCTACCGCAGGGTTTTACATAATGTATAATTAAAGGCTTGAGGTTGGTACGGTATGTTCCCTCTACCTCTGGGCAAAAATGGACAAAATGTTTGTCAATATTGTTTCCATGTTATTTCAGCATCAAAGTAATCACATTGCATCATTGTGGATAGCTGTCATAACACATACATGTTGAACATTTTTGAGTCATTTTAATCCAAGACCTTTCAACCAGGGTTCAAGGTTTGGTTTATTTTAAATATTTTGAGTTTGTTGACAACTCAATCAAATATTAACCAAAATGTGGTTGTTGATCTGACGTCTTTGTCCAATGTGTTGGTTGCCCAATATATTAGTAGCCAACGTTATTAATATAGGTTACTGAATTTAGAGTTGAGGGGATGTAAGCCCTATTCTTTAAACTGTGTAGATTTATGGCTCTATGGTAACTGTTAGAGTGTGATGACATCTTTATCTTAGATATCTACGGGAGCAGTTGTGTACACAGTCTTTCCAGGCCGCTCTTTGATCCACAACGCAGGCTGAGGTTTCTGCTTTTGAAATAGTCAAACATTGGATTGGAAGACACCCATCAGGCCCCAATATGGTCACCAGTTACGGCTACAGCATTCATTTAACCATGTTGTGTTGTGCCACCAGCAACAGTTGACCCCGTCTAAAGGAACATCCTTTTTTTATTTTGTGTTGACTTAAGTGACTATGTACTTCACGGCATGCAGTCAGGGCTGTTTGGCAGCACATTCATTGTTTAACCTTCGACGAAGAAGTGCTATCAAAGTTTGATGTCCTAGTAGTCAAAACAGAATTGGATTTTCTTGTGCCTCACTTGTAGGGGAGAGTGGGGTAAGTTGAGTCAGAGGGTTAGTTGAGCCACCCCTTGTTTCTAAGAAACCATACACAAAATTAATCATGTGACCAAATATTTAGGAAGAGGTCATCATTTCATGGAGTCTGTGAAGGAAGAAACCACATGGAAAAAGTGGTAAGCAAGTTAGGTCCAAAAAACAGATTTTCACAAATTAATTTAGTGTGTTATATGTTTCATGATGCATGTATCTAAACCAAAGTAGATGGTTTTATACATAAGTTGGGGTCTCTATAAGCTTCAATATGAGGTTATAAATGTAGCATGAAAGAGCATTATTGTAGCTGTGTTGGCTAATATAGTCAAAATGTTTGCCTTGGAGTAAGTTGAGCCAATGGCCACCATACTCCATACAAATTATGATTACATTTGGTCAGTTTTATGCATAATATGCATAGTATGTCTGCAATGTGTCATGCATATGAACTCAAGATATTGCATTTGTATTGTTACAGAGCAGACATCATCATGCCCCATGTATACAAATGTAAAACAAGCAGGGGTCTAGCCCCCTTGAGTTTCTTGAGAGAGCAGCCAAGGAAGTGAGAGAGGGGAAGAAGTCCATTTCATCAGCAGCAATGGATGAAAAAATTGACAGAATGACACTGAAGAGGTACATTGACAAAAAGAAAACTAACATGTACCTGTGCGAAAGAGAGGCAATGACAGAGTAGCAGAGGCACACAAGGTCTTATCTGATGACATGGAGGCTTAGCTTGCTAAACATATCATGAATTTTCGCAGACCAGTTTCATGGGCTTAGTAGCCTCAAAAGAACTTGCCAACGAATTGGCACATCGAAACAACATCCCTGTCCCAGACAACTGGTCATGAAATGGAAGGGTTAGTGATATTGAACAGAGAGATCTACAGTGCCTTCGGAAAGTATTCGGACCCCTTGACTTTTTCCACATTTTGTTACATTACAGCCTTATTCTAAAATGGATTAAATAAATGTCCTCAGCAATCTACACACAATACCCTATAATGACAAAGTGAAAACAGGTTTTTATAAATACAGGTTTAAAAAAACAGAAATACCTTATTTACATAAGTATTCAGACCCTTTGCTATGAGACTCGATATTGAGCTCAGGTGCATCCTGTTTCCATTGATCATCCTTGAGATGTTTCTACAACTTGATTGGAGACCACCTGTGGTAAATTCAATTGATTGGACATGATTTGGAAAGGCACACACCTGTCTATGTAAGGTCCCACAGTTGACAGTGCATGTCAGAGCAAAAACCAAGCCATGAGGTCGAAGAAATTGTCCGTAGAGCTCCAAGACAGGATTGTGTCGAGGCACAGATCTGGGGAAGGGTACCAAAAAATGTCTGCAGCATTGAAGGTCCCCAAGAACACAGTGGCCTCAATCATTCTTAAATGGAAGAAGTTTGGAGCTGGCCGCCTGGCCAAACTGAGCAATCGGGAGAGAAGGGCCTTGGTCAGGGAGGTGACCAAGAACCCGATGGACACTCTGACAGAGATCTAGAGTTCCTCTGTGGAGATGGGAGAACCTTCCAGAAGGACAACCATCTCTGCAGCACTCCACCACTCAGGCCTTTATGTTAAAGTGGCCAGACGGAAGCCACTCCTCAGTAAATGGCACATGAAAGCCCGCTTGGAGTTTGCCAAAAGGCACCTAAAGACTGTCAGACCATGAGAAACAAGATTCTATGGTCTGATGAAACCAAGATTGAACTCTTTGGCCTGAATGCCAAGCGTCAAGTCTGGAGGAAACCTGGCACCATCCCTACGGTGAAGCATGGTGGTGGCAGCATCATGCTGTGGGGATGTTTTTCAGCGACAGGGACTGGGAGACTAGTCAGGATCGAGGCAAAGATGAACGGAGCAAAGTACAGCAAGATCATTGATGAAAACCTCCTCCAGAGCGCTCAGGACCTCAGACTGGGGCGAAGGTTCACCTAACAGCACAACGACCCTAAGCACACAGCCAAGACAACGCAGGAGTGGCTTCGGGACTTTTCTCTGAATGTCCTTAAGTGGCCCAGCAAGAGCCCGGACTTGAACCCGATCTAACGTCTCTGGAGAGACCTGAAAATAGCTGTGCAGAGACGCTCCCCATCCAACCTGACAGAGCTTGAGAGGATCTGCAGAGAAGAATGGGAGAAACTCCCCAAATACAGGTGTTCCAAGCTTGTAGCGTCATACCCAAGAAGACTCGAGGCTGTAATCGCTGCCAAAGGTGCTTCAACAAATTACTGAGTAAAGGGTCTGAATACTTATGTAAATATGACATTAACTTATTTATTTTTATAAATTAGCAAAAATGTCTAACAACCTGTTTTTGCTTTGTTTTTGTCATTATGGGGTATTGTGTGTAAAATTATGAGGAAAAAATACAATTTAATCAATTTTAGAATAAGGCTGTAACCTAACAAAATGTGGAAAAAGTCAAGGGGTCTGAATACTTTCCGAAGGCACTGTATATCTGAACGTAGGCATGAATTTAAGATATACAATATACCACACCCCCATTCCATTCATTCAGCTTTGACCTACCATCACCATCACTCACTGTTACAGGACACCATCACCCACTTACCCCAAGGTGGCTCAACTTACCCTGTCCCTATACTCAACTTACCCGGGGTAAGTTGTGCCAGGAGACCACTTTTTTTGGGCAAGCTATGTTTTCAAAACTGTTATGAATTCTTATTATTTCCAGGGATACACACCATCCTGAAACATATGAAGATATCTTTGTAAGAAATAATACTATATTTCCCTTAACGTAGTGATGCTAAATGTTAAAAATGGCTAAACTTACCCCACTCTCCCCTACTTGTAAAAGCCAGATTCAAAATGGAGTAAAACACAAAGTAGAGATGTGTGGGTGCGTGTCACAGATCAATAAGTATCTTCCACGTACTGTGCTCCAAATGCAGTTGTAAACATGAGAAGCTCCTCTGGACCTATGAGCTCCCATTCCCCAGATCCACCCCCTACTCCACCCCCATCTCTCTGTAAAACCTCAAACCTCACCACCATCAGACCCAGTTTTAGTCTGAACACTTCCCATCTTTTCTATAAAAACAGGCCACGTCAACCTGAAAACCATCAACACAGCCCTCCCTCTCCCCAGGACTGACCAGACTCCACTGTACTCAGCAACATCAGTTGGCACCCCCCTCTAGTGTACCTCTCATAGTCATCAGTGAGAGGATAGGATCATATGGATGGTTTAGGAATACAATGTTTCCATATGGGTTTATTAATGTATGTGGAGTGAAACATCGAAAGGCATCAAAGTAGAAACCATCATAATTTGAATGAGAAATTGAAAATGACAGCTCTGTAGGAAGAACCGAATACAAAGGGAACTTTTACATTGACTCCATATATCCATATCATCAGCTGCATTATCAACATCATTTATACCCATGTACATTTACAGTATTCATTTGGAGTCAAGAAGTCCTCCTATGCAGTTCCAATCCCCAGCTACTAACTCACTGTTTATTCCTCTGAAACTCCAGCCCATGTGATGTGGGTTGGATGTCATGTGAGGAGTCAATTCCTAGCATCAGTAAGCTTGTCATGACCGGACCAAGGCCTTACCGCAGCCAGGGCACGGGTAGGGTTAATGTCACTCACGCGAGGCCTTGTGGTAGACATTCATTCCACTTCAAAAGTCACCAGGAGCATAGCGACATCTCTGGGAAGTACACAAATCTACCCAAACAGGCCCTGGGTCCATATTAACTTGGGGGGGGGGGGGGGCATATTTGGCCCAAGATAAGCCTGGCCAGGCTCCCTGTAAGATTAATATTAGAATAACAATGCAGTACCGATCTCCTGTCAACAACAAAGTATACACTAAACTATCTGTCTAAACTAAACAGACAGAGACCTAACAAACAGGGCAAACAAACTCTCTGACACCACAAGGAGTCAATAATGGCACATCATTAGATGGAAAGTATGCAGAGCCATGGGGGGAGAGGGGTGTGGAGCGTTGTTTTGTAACTAAGTGCTGTTGGATGTTAAAACAACAGCAGATCCATGTGGTCTCCATAGAGCCCCAGTCTGGAGAATGGGATCCAGATGGAGATGGAGCGTGAGGGGGAATGGGACTGTGTGCCGCCCGGCCCCACCTCTCTACTGGGCCTATGGCAGTAAGAGATTGTTCTACTCCCTCTCCGCTCCCCACAGTTACAAAACAAAACCACATTTAAAATAATTGAACAATATAGATTTGCAAGTTTCCCAGGATGGGCCAAAATGTACAATTGATATTGAGATGTACATTTGATATTGAAAGGCATAGATATGTATATGCACACATCGAATCCCATCCAAAATTAACAAAATCTGGAAAGTATTCTCTATTTTAGAAAATGCAAAAAGTTGACAGAATGATTTATGTCAAAGATGTGATAGCATTGAAAAAAATGCATCATGTTGTTGTTGCTGGGGCGGCAGGTAGCTTAGTGGTTAAGAGCGTTGTGCCAGTAACCGAAAGGTCGCTGGTTCTAATCCCCGAGCCGACTAGGTGAAAAATCTGTCGATGTGCCCTTGAGCAAGGCACTTAACCCTAATTGCTCCTGTAAGTCGCTCTGGATAAGAGCATCTGCTAAATGACAAAAATATAATGTAAATGTTGTGCAAGCCCTTTCAATGCTACCACAGCCCACGTCCTGGCTCTAGTCGGTTCTATAACATCCAGCCCACAGTTAATTAGCTGGGTGATTGTTTAGTGCTGTACTGTTCTGTCCTAAGGGCATGGTTGACTCCACAAAGTCTGTCAAATGACCACTGTTTGGACGTGCAGTTGGCGCCCTCTAGCGGTATGCTAAGTCCACATACAGTATTTCCAGAGCTGGATTATCATGAGTTGAATCACAGGTTTTTAAAGTAGTTTTTCAAAAAATGTAACCTAACTTTCATTGTCAATTATATTTTAATAATACAATAATACTTTTGAAGTAAAGAAGATACAAAAACACACAAAACTGAAGTACAAGATCTAATAGCAGGATTGAACCACTCAGGTGTCACACACACAGGATTTACAGAGCTACATGGCCTCTCCTCTGTCTCTGACTCAACAGGAGAAGGGCATCAACCTGATGCACATAGAGTCTCGCCCGTCGCGACTGAACAACCAGCAGTTTGAGTTCTTCATCAGCGTGGACACCAGCTTCTCCAAGGCCTTGGACGAGGTCATCGATGGCCTGCGCACCGAGATCAGTGGCCACGTGCACGAGCTCTCACGCAACAAACAGAAGGACACAGGTGTGTGGGTTTGGGTTGGGGTTAATTCCAATTCCAATTCTTGTCAACGCTTTTTAATTAGGAAAATGTGGAATTGGAATTCAGAATTACTTTCTGAATTGACTAGAGTTTAAATGGAATTCACCCTAATCCTGGTGTGTATGAGTGTGTGTATATAGAAAAATATTATCAATGAATAATCAATCTAGATATGCATATAATAACATATTACAAACCATGACTGATTAATATTTTAAGTGTACTTAACAATAATTATATGATGATATATTTGTGTCTAGGAGGGAGAAGGGGGAAGTAGAAAAACTGTGTGTGTGTCACATGATCTGAACTCTGGGTGGCGCTTTAGGAGGCCACCAGCCAGACTGTCTAATGAGGCGATGAGCGTCGCCGCGGAGACGGATGGCCTGTCCCTCACATCCAGCCTCCTTTATTAGTTGTTTCCACAATGACATTAGTTTAGTTACTGGGCACCAACTGGCCTGGCTGCAAACAGAGGAGCCCACTGTCACAGAACAGACTGTCTCTATCACAGACCCAGAGGAGGGAAACCCTAACAGGGTCATCGCTCATCCCGGACAGACAGACAGGCAGAGATAGACAGGGCCATCACCAAGCCAGCCGCCCTTGTCCTCACCCCCCTCTGCCTAGCCCCATGGTCTACTGGACAGGGCGACAGGTTAATGTGTCATTGGAGGATATTAGAGATATTTATGGTCTGAGATGGAGACAGGCTGTTTTGAGAGGAGCCTGGTGGGGTCCCATTGTTCCCCTAGCCTCAGGCTGGACCACACGGCCTCGATTTAGATTAATGGTCAACGTCCAGTACTTCTAACTGTCATCAATGAGCCAATGGGTGACCTCCTCTGGTGCTCTGTTCACTGTCAACATAGTTACTGAGTAGTGTTCTAGCCCAAAAGCACCCTGCAGGCAAAACCCCGACAAAACCATCCCCATCAATACTCATTTGGGCTTCACTTGTTTCAATCAATTTACATTTTGGAATTGGACACTGAACACAAGGCAGATGTACAGACAATTGTAAATAATACTAAATTGTAGTTTTCTACATCTCAAGACGTTATGCACCACTGTTTCGACTGGTTTTACTCTGCCCTCTTCTGGTCTGTTTTGGCCATGTATATACTGTATATCTATGTAGCTCTGTTGGTAGAGCATGGCATTTGCAACGGCAGGGTTGTGGGTTCGATTCCAGTATGAATTTTTTTTAAATAATAAAAACATTTTTAAATGTATGCACTCACTTACTGTAAGTCGCTCTGGATAAGAGTGTCTGCTAAATGACATAAATGTAAATGTATCTACAGTATTTGTCACATTCATCTGAACTGGTTAATGAGATTCACCCCCCCCCCCCCCCCCTACAGTTCCATGGTTCCCCAATGACATCCAGGACTTGGACCGCTTTGCCAACCAGATTCTGAGCTACGGATCTGAGCTGGATTCTGATCACCCTGTAAGGATCAACCATTCATTACTGTCTGTTTACAACCTACACACTCTGTAGGGGGTGTCACCCTGTGTACTAAGGTGACTGCTTTGTGTTGTATGTGTGTCTGCATTGTTGGGAAGGGCCCGTAAGTAAACATTTCACTGTTAGTCCACATCTGTTGTTATACAGAGCATGTGACGAATACAATATGATTTATGTGTGTGTGTGTGCATACGTATGTACCTGTGTGTATGCATGTGCACCCACACATGTGTTTTATGAAAGACTCAAATCGTGATGACAGTCCCCACTCTGCTATCTATTCTAATGGAAACTCTCTAGGGCCCCAAATTAATGTCATTGCTTTAATTGAGCCCCTATAATTATAGATAATTGCTCCCTTTTGCCACCACCTTTAAAAGTGAAATGTATTCCTCATGAGCAGCATACATTCTACAAAGGCCTCATTTGAATATGTGTGTCCAGCCAGGGCTCTCAGGAGAGTGGGAGAGTATAATGCTGTCAAAGGGTCCAAGTAGTCCTAGCTGAGGATTTCCACATTATATACAGGGCCAGGCAGTGATCATAAATAAGATCTAACATTGATTACTTCGGTCATTCACTCCAGGGCTTCACAGACCCAGTGTACAGAACCAGGAGGAAGGAGTTTGCCGACATCGCCTACAACTACAGACAGTAACTATCCATCTAGACTAGAACACTTGTTTCTCTTTGGTCCCTCTCTTTTACACAACAGCAGAGGTGAAGAAAGCTTCTAGAACCTACTAGAAGTGATCTATGGCTCTCTCCTCCAGCCTCATTTCAGTCCCCGCTTTGCCTTTTATTGAAAATACCACAAACAAAAGGGGACAAATTACAGAGGGGGCAGTGGTGGATTTGAAGCCTCTGCCTTTGTTCGCATAATTGAGACTTCATTATTCCCAGGAACTACAAAGAGCGCCAGCCCCAATGAAAACGCCCTCACAGGAAGCTCACATTTACATAGCAGTGGGACCTTGGTAGAATAATGAAGTGAATCCACTCACTGATCTCCCCCACCCATCCATCCTCCTAGTCCTCCCTCACCAAATAGGGACTGTGTGTGTCTGTGTATATACAGGACCAGTCAAATGTTTGGACACACCTACTCATTCAAGGGTTTTTCTTAATTTTTACTATTTTCTACACTGTAGAATAATAGTTAAGACATCAAAACTATGAAATAACACATATGGAATCATGTAGTAACCAAAAAAGTGTTAAACCAATCTAAATATATTTTTGATTTTACATTCTTCAAAGTAGCCCTTTGCCTTGATGACAGCTTTGCACACTCTTGGCATTCTCTCAACCAGCTTCATGAGGAATGCTTTTCCAACAGTATTGAAGGAATTCCCATATATGCTGAGCACTTGTTGGCTGCTTTTCCTTCACTCTGCGGTCCAACTCATCCCAAACCATCTCAATTGGGTTGAGGTCGGGATGATTGTGGAGCCCAGGTCATCTGATGCAGCACTCCATCACTCTCCTTCTTGGTCAAATAGCTCTTACACAGCCTGGAGGTGTGTTTTGGGTCATTGTCCTGTTGAAAAACAAATGATAGTCTCACTAAGCGCAAACCAGATGGGATGGTGTATCGCTGCAGAATGCTGTGGTAGCCATGCTGGTTAAGTATGCCTTGAATTCTAAATAAATCATAGACAGTGTCACCAGCAAAGCACACCTCACACCATCACACCTCCTCTTCCATGCTTCACGGTGGGAATCACACATGCAGAGATCATCCGTTCACCTACTCAGCGTCTCACAAAGACACGGCGGTTGGAACCAAAAGTCTGAAATGTAGTCTCATCAGACCAAAGGACAGATTTCCACCGGTCTAATGTCCATTGCTCTTGTTTCTTGGCCCAAGCAAGTCTCTTTTTCTTATTGGTGTCCTTTAGTAGTGGTTTCTTTGCAGCAATTCGACCATGAATGCCTGATTCATGCAGTCTCCTCTGAACAGTTGATGTTGAGATGTGTCTGTTACTTGAACTCTGTGAAGCATTTATTTGGGCTGCAATTTCTGAGGCTGGTAACTCTAATGAACTTATCCTCTGCAGCAGAGGTAACTCTGGGTCTTCCTTTCCTGTGGCGGTCCTCATGAGAGTCAGTTTCATCATAGCGCTTGATGGTTTTTGCGACTGTACTTGACGAAACTTTCAAAGTTCTTGAAATGTTCTGGATTGACTGACCTTCATGTCTTAAAGTAATGATGGACTGTCATTTCTATTTGTTTATTTGAGCTGTTCTTGCCATAATATGGACTTGGTCTTTTACCAAATAGGGCTATCTTCTGTATACCACCCCTACCTTGTCACAACACAACTGATTGGCTCAAACGCATTAATAAGGAAAGAAATTCCACAAACTTAACAAGGCACACCTGTTAATTGTAATGCATTCCAGGTGACTACCTCATGAAGCTGGTTGAGAGAATGCCAAGTGTGGGCAAAGCTGTCATCAAGGCAAATGGTGGCTACTTTGAAGAATCTCAAATATATTTTGATTTGTTTAACACTTTTTTGGTTACTACATGATTCCATATGTGTTATGCCATGTGTTATGTCAATGTAGAAAATATTAAAAATAAAGAAAAACCCTGGAATGAGTAGGTGTGTCCAAACTTTTGACTGGTACTGTATATAAGAACATATTATACACAAGTGTGTGTTAACAACAGTGTCTCTGTCTCAGTGGCCAGGTCATTCCCAAGGTGGAGTACACAGCGGAGGAGAAGGCCACATGGAGCACAGTGTTCAATGAGCTGAAGACTCTGTACCCCACGCACGCCTGCCGTGAGCACAACCGTGTGTTCCCCCTGCTGGAGCAGTACTGCGGCTACAGGCAGGACAACATCCCCCAGCTGGAGGACATCTCACGCTACCTGCAGTGTACGACAACAGATCGTGCCTAAGTGCCCCCATTTCCTATGCTTCTTTAAGCGTCCCACACACACTGACATGATACCCTCCCCTCCTCTCTGTTTTAGCATGCACAGGTTTCCGGTTGCGCCCAGTGGCTGGCCTGCTCTCCTCTCGGGATTTCCTGGCTGGTCTGGCCTTCCGAGTCTTCCACTCTACACAGTACATCCGTCACCAATCCAAGCCCATGTACACACCTGAGCCGTGAGTGTCACCCTCATAAAATTTTAAGGAGAAAACACATCGCGCTGAATGACAGTCTGAAATTCGTCTGACGTTTGTTCAACATTCGTTTGGCAAGGTGCGTTTTAGGGACCATCTGATTTCCGTCATTTTCGCCCGTTTCCACATGTAGAATCGGCACCCTGTTAAGTACTCTCGGCCGGCAAATGCTGCCGGTGTATCCGTGCCTTTATACAGGTGTCACATCCTACCTTGGGACCAGTTGTACATAGTTGATTATGTTCTATAGTCATTGACTTAAATCTCTCCACAGGGATATCTGCCATGAACTCCTGGGGCATGTTCCTCTGTTTGCTGACCCCACCTTTGCCCAATTCTCACAGGTAAAGAACACAAGAGGACATGAACGTTCTTTAACCACTGCTGGTATCATAACTTAAGAGAACTATCCATTGTTGGCGTGAAAAAAGGCACCATTGTAAAGATCAGCTTCAAACACAGTCATGCTAGTCATAATGTTCTTGATTGAGGAGAATGCCATGCAACTGTACTGCATGTGCCAGTCTTACTCTAATATTGGTTTTGCTCCTGTAGAACGCTTTCAACTGTGTTACAGCACAATATCCTGAAGCAGATATAGTCAATAACATTATTTATTTTGACACTCTTTTGAACAGGAAATCGGTCTGGCTTCCCTGGGTGCCCCCGACGAGTACATTGAGAGGCTTGCTACTGTAAGTCTCTCAGACGTCTCACAACATCAACTTCAGCCGACTCCTGATACCAGAAGAAGACAAAACAATATTGAATATGTGATGAGCCCTTGTGTCTGTCTGTCTGTCCACAGGTCTATTGGTTCACAGTGGAGTTTGGCCTCTGCAAGCAGGGCTCTGAGATCAAGGCCTATGGAGCTGGCCTTCTCTCATCATTTGGAGAGCTGCAGGTATTTACCTTACATTTACACCTTACAGAGTGACTTACAATGAGAAATACATGCTAGAAGCAGCCACAGTGGTCACATGTTGGGCATTCTTCACAACAGAACAATTCATTTAGCCATGTGGCTATTTTTTTGAGGGTTTCTTTCATTACCTGTTTTTATGCCCACGTGTCAGGCCTCCTTCCTGCAGTTCTAATAGACCCAAATCCCTATGAGGTAGCCCAGTGGGCTGTCAGTCAGCAGCATCGCATTAGTGGAAACCAAGGCTTTTCTCAGGGCAGACCTGGTTGTAGCTAGATATGTTCGAGTCGCATCTGTGACAATTTTAGCATTTTAGCTAACCCTTTTTCTAACCTTAACCTAATTCTCCTAACCTGCCACGTTAATTCTCCTAACTGCTGTGTAAGTTCTCCTAACCTGCTATGAAAAGTCACTTCTGCTATAGTCAAAACCGGCAGACCTGCCCTGATACCACAAATGCGATACAGCTGTCAATCAGTTTGTTAGTGGTCCACCCAGGGCTCAGGCTAAATGTATCACTAGGGGAAACTGGTGAGGAGTGGGTTAGTGGTTCAATGGAGAAGTAGGAGGCAGAGACATAATTAATATCTTAAGTCACCAGTTACATCACAGTGTCAGCAGAGGATGTGCAGTTAACTGAGTCATATCACAGCAGGACCAACTCACGCTGAGACGCCATTCACACTGCACTTCCTGTTTACTGCTGCCGAGGCTCATGGGGCACAGAATTTCATTGAGGAATTGGACACTGCTTGTGATCTGTGACCTCAAAACACCAAATGAGGGCTTGTAACCTGGATTCTGCTCATTGTACATTGATTCACGACAGTGTTACATCTCCAATAAATGGGATTAGTTGGAGTCAAACTCTGGACTAACATTTTACTGTTTTGAATTGTTTTACAGTACTGTTTGACAGACAAGCCCAAGATTCAACCATTTGACCCTGCGAAGACCAGCCTCCAGAAGTACCCAATCACTGAGTTCCAGCCCATTTACTTTGTCGCTGAGAGCTTTGATGACGCCAAAGAGAGAGTCAGGTAGAATTTAACATCTGTACAATATTAACCATTTAGGATTTCACATATTCATTCACTGTATTCGCTTCGGAACTCTCTGGATCTTTATATCATAGAATATATATCTTCACATTTCCAATGGAATGTCCTGTGTTATGACTCTCTATACAGGAAATTTGCTGATACCATCCCCAGGCCTTTCTCAGTGCGCTACAATGCATACACCCAGAGTATTGAAGTCTTGGATAACACCCAGCAGCTGAGAAACCTGGCTGACAACATCAGTGGTGTGTGACACATTTCTATAGTGTCCTCATAAAACGAACTCCTCAATAGCCCCTTATGCAAATACCAACATCAAGTACTATTAGAAATGGATTCAAACAAGATTTTCTACCAATTGTAATTGATATACACTGTATGTAATATATGTCATTTAGCATACACTTTTATCCAAAGCGGCTTACAGTCACGCATGAATACATTTTACATAAGGCTGGTCCAGGGAATCGAACCCACAACCCTGGCATTGCAAGCACCATGCTCTACCAACTGAGCTACAGAAGACCACACTAGGATTTATTTTTGTCTTGCCTTTTAGAAATCTAAAACATAGTTTAATTGAATTACAGACAATATCTGTATAAATTCCCAACTCCTACTGGTATTTAATGTTTAATAATCTTCTACAGATGAACTACCTAATTTAATTGTATTGCTTTTATTTTAGGGGAAATTGGGATCTTGTGCAATGCCCTGCGGAAGATGGAGTAAGGAGAACACTTTGGAGACATCCTTCAAAACTGATGTGCACAATGATAGAATCTCAATGTATCTCATCAATCTTGTAGATTTCCATTATACTCTTTGTACTTATAATCTGTGTGCTTGTTCATTATAACATTTACTGCATTCTGCTTCATCTTTAAATAAATTATTCATAAATACCTACTGCAACCCATGCACTAGTCATTTTAAGTAGAACATTTTAATATTAGTAGTCATATTATTAGAGTAGCACTCTCTCAATGAATCACATAGACAGGCATACTACTAGCCAATGAAAATGGCACATCGGGAAAATTAGTCTTTCATTGTAAATATTAAGCGACATAAAACAAGTATTAACTTTCTCTAAATGAATTATTCGATAAGTGAGTGAGGTTTTCGTTAGATTTTTGTTAACTCCAACAAGGAGAAGTATTATTTTATCATACCTTTGTCAGCATGTTCTAGAAATCCAACACCCGCCATTACAGTATTGATAGGTTAACCGACGTAATTTTCCGTAACCAGCTGTGACAGATTAAATTAGAAGAGTGCTATTCCAAAACTATTAGCTCAGGCTTTGAAGATGATCTAATTCGCACTTGAGTATTCTATCTACAGTGGTTAAATCGCAAATAACAAAAATGTATCCTTGCATTATGCTATAAAAAGCTACGCCTATATAACAATAACGAAATACAATGTGTATGTCCAGAATGTTATTAGAGAATGTGTTTGATTATATCCTGAATTCTGATTAATCCAAATGATTGACTGTTTTTCCATTCTTTACTATCACCATCATATTTGTTTGTATAATATGCATGAAAATGTGTTATTATTAACTGGCCAAATAAATGTCTTTATATCCTGAAAAGGTTATCTTTCAAATAAATTATCTCAAAATAATTGTTATGTTTTATTATTTTTTATTATTAGGCTATAATTGGTTGTGAGAACACATGTTGTATTAGAGTCTGTCAAAGTGCGTTTCAGCACCTTGGAGAGCATCTCAAGTCAGGGGAAAATAAATGTTTTGCACAATGACCTGTTGCACCTGCTACAAAGCAATGGAAAGAAACATATATAGCCTAGAATAAACGTAAGTAAGTAAGTAAAACTATCAATATTCGTAATCTTGTTTTGTAGGCTACAAAACGCAGTTTTTTTCAATATATTAGGCCTATAAGTGCTTTCATAAAACTATTTTTATTCCATTAAAAGGAGATTGGATGTTATGACGCATAACACCTACAAATCAGACGTGTGCATTTGCGTAACTCATTTCCATAAAGAATTATGTGAGCATTGGTATATAAACCTGTCTCCCTGCTGATGGCAAAGATTTAGACACCGCTGTGCCTCAGTCTCAGTATCCGAGAATAGGCCTATATAGACCATACGATCAAACAAATCATAGCGACTCTGCAATATTCGACAGTCTACGACAAATCGCCATAAGTTCAATGAAGACGGAGAGTATGGTGCAAAACATTCCGTTCGTCGGCAGAAAGCGAAGTCTGATCGAAGATGCCCGGAAAGAGCGCGCCAGCGGTTCATCGTCCCCTGGCCCATCGCGGTGCGGTGAAAACTTTGTGTTTGAGGAAAAGGAAGGAAACGTGACACTGAACATTCTTTTCGCACTCAGCCATGAGAAGAATGCAGGGTTCTTTAAAACTGGCAAAGTCTTTGAGGTAAGGAAAGCATGTTCATCATTATATATGAGTTGCAGATGGAGAGCTTCAATAAATCAGGTCTACGGCATCGAATCAATGTGATAAAATATAAATGTGTTTGCTTAAATATGATATTTATGTCTTTACCATGCATTCAGACGTTTGAAGCAAAGCTTCTGCATATTGAGAGCCGACCAGGGAGGAAGTCTAAGAACAGTGGCTGTGATGATCTGGAGTTCTTTATGAGGTGTGAAGTGCACAGCTCCGACACAAACATCTTCATCAACTCACTCAAGAGAGTCGCCGACGATGTACGCACCATCCCAGAGGAAAAAGGTTATAATAACATTATAATGAAATAATAATCATAAGTGTCTAATAATAGTAATGTTTTTATTGGTTTTGTTATCGTTTAGAATACAATAACACCTAATCATTTAAAATTGTGTGAAATAATTATGCTCTGCATATTTTTCCTGTTTCCTTGTTTTAGTTCCCTGGTTCCCCAGAAAGATCAGAGATCTGGATAAATGCAACCTGTTGATAACGAAATATGATCCAGATATGGACCAAGATCATCCAGTAATTGTTTATTTTTACCTTAGGCTACCATTTATATGACATTGATACAATATTTGTAAAATTCACTTGATTGTTAGAAATAATACTCAACTATCAAAAATGATTAAAAAAACAAAAACAAATTATGGCTAACTAAATTACTCATTTTTCAGGGATTCAGTGATCCAGAATACAGAAAAAGAAGGTGCTTCATCGCTGAACTTGCAGCGAATTACAAACAGTAAGTAATTGATCCCATAATTTTCCCCTTTCAAAAAAGTGATTCCCATGTTGTCAGTCGCTCTTGGATGCCAGCACTGCATCATTGGACCAAAGGCATTACATTGTAGTAATGCATTAGTAAAGGAATGATTGATGCATTGATCTCTGTTCCACAGGGGGGAACCATTACCCAGAGTGGAGTACACACCAGAGGAGGTGGCCACATGGTGAGAATAACAGCTCATGTATAGTATACTGGAGATGGACATCGACCACTAGTCTTCTTTCATAATGATAATAGTCTACAGTCAATATACCTGTGGAGTTCGAATGACAGTGTTCTAATGACTCTGCTGCTGCTGTCATTTAACAGGAGAGAGGTATACCGGACCCTGAGGACCATCTACCCTGACCTGGCGTGCATACAGTTCATGGATGGGCTGCAGCAGCTGGAGAGGGAGTGTGGCTACGGAGAGGACAGTATCCCCCAGCTCCGGGAGGTCTCTGCCTTCCTCAAAGGTGAGGCGCAGCAGTCTATCTCTGCCTGAAGGACAGAGCAATGGCAGCACTATGACCAGCTTCAAGGAATAAAACAGACAACCGACAGAGGCAAATCCGGCATGCCCATGACTTTCCATTGACTGAGTAATTCTGGTCAATGACTGTGCGCACCTTATAGATTGATTGTGTCTCGGTTACTTTCATGTAGATTGGTTACAACAGTAACAATAACATTAGGGGTTGTTCTCGTATTGCAGAAACAGTCACCGTGTATGAACATCAGCATGTATGCCACTGGTGAATATGTGTATGTCTGACAGTTGGCACCTTGCTATGTGTTCTTGTTTGTCCAGAGAAGTCAGGCTTCCAGCTGCGTCCGGTGGCAGGGCTACTCTCCGCCAGAGACTTCCTAGCTAGCCTGGCCTTCAGACTGTTCCAGTGTACCCAGTACATCCGCCACGCCTCCGCACCCATGCACTCCCCCGAGCCGTAAGTCAATTGGTGTTATTGTCATAGTAGGATCACTTGAAATAATAAATGTGCGTCATGATAATCAGTTTACTAACTGATCATAAATAATAACATCTGTATGATTCATGTGTATCATGATAATGAGTCTAATCAATGGACATATTCACGTGCATCATGTATTCACTGCTTTTGCGCTTCCTTCCCTCAGAGATTGTTGTCACGAGTTACTCGGCCATATTCCTATGCTTGCAGACAAAGAATTTGCCCAGTTTTCCCAGGTAAAAACATTTAGACTTATAATATGGTTCATATAATGTTTGGGAGTAATAATACATCAATTATAATAATACATTAAATGTCATATCATGGCGCAACACTCACAATTGTTTGTCATTTGCAGGAAATCGGCCTAGCCTCACTGGGCGCATCAGACGAGGATATTGAGAGACTCTCAACCGTAAGAGCTGACCTTTGAGCTTTCATTTCAAAATAAGCACTTACCAATCAAATTTAAAACATTAGATACTGCACTGGTTGGGTGTTGGACTGCAAATAATGGCCCTTTGCTGCCATCTAGTGGAAAATATAAAATACTGACCAATCTGATAATTTGACTGATGTGTTGTCAGGCGTGAAATGAAGCCTTATAATTTCCTCATCACTTGTTGTCATTCCTCCGACAGCTGTACTGGTTCACGGTGGAGTTTGGACTTTGTAAGCAGAATGGAACTGTAAAGGCATACGGTGCCGGCCTCCTGTCCTCCTATGGAGAACTCATTGTGAGTAGGATTTTACATTGGTACTCTGTAGCTTTGTACTGATAGAGGGGACTAATTCCTAATTTCTTATCTCTGTTTTCATATAACATGCCGCTAAACATTTCTGAAGGAGTCTAAAATGATAACTAATCACTTTTCTTATTTCCATCTTTCAGTATGCTCTCTCTAACGAACCTGAGTACAAGCCATTCAACCCTGAGGAGACTGCAATCCAGCCTTACCAGGACCAGACTTTCCAACCTGTCTACTTTGTCTCAGAAAGCTTTGAGGATGCCAAGATTAAGATGAGGTACATCAATGCCTACAAGTGGTGTATGTCTATATGTGAGCACTTCAGTAAATGTGTAAGATGTGGTGTATACCGTTTGAGTTGATCTTGTCGCTCCTGGATGCAGTGCAGCACTGGTTTTGGAGAGGAGACAGTGGGAACCTCAGGGGATCTGAGTGAAGACACAGAAGTAAATCAGACTGAAGGCAGCTGTTTAGGAGTTAGGGGTTAGAGGTTGCAAACCTGTACTCATAATTAGCATAATATGTTTTGTAATATATTAATGTCATCTGAATGAGCTGAGTATGGATGGACATAGAGAAGGGATGGGCAACTCCAGTCCTCTGGGGCCGGATTGGTGTCACACTTTTACCCCGTCCCTAGCACAAACAGCTGAATAAACTAATTGCATTCTAAACTGAAGATCATGGTTAGTTGATTATTGGAGTCAGGTATGTTAGCTGGGGCTGGGGCAAAAGTGTGACACCAATCAGGCCCCTGAGGACTGGAGTTGCCCATCCCTGACAGAGTAAAACACATACAATTCAAAAGGCACTATGTGTGTGTAAGTGTGTGTAACCCATCATTATGAGAGAGATGAGATGACTTGAGGAGACAGTCGGGGTCATACTTAAATTTAACCCATAAGAGTCTAAGCCCTGTCTAAGCCGATTTTTGGGATGTCTCATGGTCTGACAAACACCACTCTAGCTCTGTCACCTTTTACCGCAAATGCGGAAGTGTTACATAGGCGGATGCAGTGCATTGAGACACATCTAATGCAAAAACAGATATCTCTAGCTTAAACTGACAGATTTTTTTATTACGCTAATTAGGGAGTTTTAAACAGGTTCTCCGGCACAAAATGCATATTTCAGCCAATTAAAATCGTCTATTTACTTGTACTTGACAGAACACTAAATTGTAGCTGGTCCCATCCGATAACATGGCACACGTTAGCCCTATGCTAACCTCACCAGGTGGCACTGATTATATCCTGGCACAAGTTCTGCATCAGCCAATTAAAATTGTCAACGTGGTTGGACGTGTTCCAACACTTGTTCATGGAAGCTTCCTTACCATACCTCAGTCTAACAGCACGTTCTGATCATCAAAGCAACTATCATGTGTATTTGACTGACTGGTCAAATTGCTCTCTGTGTGCAGAGTCCACGTAATTGTCGCAGATTGTGGCAAGGGTTCGAATTTCACATGAGTTTCCCTCCCCCTTTGAAATGTAGATATACATGTACTGTATTAGTGTGTTGAAAAGGGACACCTACAGCCAACAGCCTAGCAGACAAACATACTGCTATGGCCTAGTAATCATATTGCATAGGCTATTTACATGGACGTGTACACTTACATTTAGGCCTACAATGTTTTATATGCATTTTTATAATCATCAACTTTGTCACATATAAGTTATTTGAGCATTACAAAGTGTACAGTAGGATTGCAGTTTGCAATCTCGTTATCATCCTAAAGATGGCAGTATTACAGTTATTTTAAAGAAGTTTATCACACTTGGCTATCATTAGGATTCTAATGTAGCTACACATACATGCAGGCCTACAACATTTTGTAGGCTATGCATTATTATGCATTATTATAATCATCCACTTGGTTAAATGCGTTTTGAATTGAGCATCAAGGACCGGCCGTGAATAGTTTTTCCTCAACAAAAAAGCTTGATAGGAGGGGGACTCAAACCCATGGTGAACTATCGATTTCAAGTCAACCGCTTTGGCAGTGTATGCCACCTAGAGGCTATGATGACAATGATAGTCTACATGCTATTTGACAAATCCATAAGGCTCTTCATTATTTTATACGATGTACGATAAACTTAAATGTTGTAAGGATCTCATATAATTTTTCCATAAAGGCACATGGATGTGTGTGAAACAGATAAACAAAAATGTGGGATTTTGTTATAAATGCGAAAACGTGAAAATGTTGTCTAACATTAGGAGTAGCTAGTAGTGTAGTCAAGGATGCATCAATGCAATATTGGCACACAACATTTTGTTACAGACCAACAGAACAGCAAAGATTATGGATATACTGACAAGATACATGTCTCTCCGCCCTAAAAACGGGAGTCGTTGTCTACAAAGAGGCACGGCGGGCTGTCTAGCTCCCGCCTATCCTTTCTTTGGATTGGTGGATACATCTCATTATTGTAATCCTTATCTGAATATTCGATGAGGGTTATTGACATCAACCGCCTGTATTCAATTGAGAGAAATACTATGCTACAAGTCTCATGTCATGAATATCCATAGCCATTTTCGAGACAACTCCAATATAAAGTGTTTTTTTCTCAAAGTTGCCAGGATGTCACGTGTCCTACTTATATTAGTACACTCATAACAACTTAAACATTACATAATTTTATTCGATCAAATAAACCTCACGTAGCAAGTAAGCCATTCATTTCTTTGTTGACCAAATTCGACACTCATTGACCTCCAAACCAAAAAAAACGCACCTGCTGGAGGGAGACAGATTTTCCACAGAGTTGGGTCTCTTGCTTACTCTCTGACAAAAGTAAACCTTGAATTTGTAGGTTTAAAATATCCCTCTAGTGGCCAGGGTTGACCTATTTTAAGAAATGCCATTGGTTGGTGGATCTTTGATAGGCTGATGAAGAATTTGTGGCAGGATATAATCAGTGCCACCTGTTGAGGTTAGCATAGGGCTAATGTGTTCCATGTTATCTGATGGCACCAGCAACAATTTAGCTGTCGTGTGCAAGTAAATCAACGATTTTAATTGACCGATACGCATTTTGTGCCAGAGAACATGTTTAAAATTAAATGGTTGCTTATTCGCAAGTATGGACGCAATGTATTAAAACCTTATTGTTCTACCTGCAGGCGGTACTCGTCGTCCATCCAACGGCCCTTCTCTGTCCGGTACGACCCATTCACCTGCAGCCTGGAGGTTCTGGACCAGCCCAGTAAGATCCAGCATGCCCTGGGCCAGATGAGAGACGACCTGAAGATACTACACAGTGCCCTGGAGAAACTGGGCTGAGGGCCTCAACACTGAGCCAGAGACTCAGGGAGTGAAACTGATACATACCCCTGGAGGGGTGGGAAGGGGAAGAGATGTTGGGTCTTTAAAGGTGCAATCTGTAATTACTCTGTGTGGCCATGGAGCCAAATGCACAAACAATCAATGCACAAAATACAGTAGTTCCATTTAAGTCAATCAGTTGAATATCCACCTCTTCAATTCTGCTGGGCCAATATTTGCATTATTATTATTATTGTATTTTGTTAGAGACTAAACTAGATTTCACCTTTAAATGGATGCATATGAAATACTGAATATATTTATTCATCTGAAAAATACCATTTATATATTTATGTGCAAGATTCATTAATATACAAAGAAACTCAAAAGGGGTGATGATATTAATAGTGATTTCGATCCGAATGTGCAAATTGTCCAAATAGATACGCAAGGTAGATGGATTATTTTAAATATGTTATTGGACCATAAACAGATATGGCTCATTAACCTTTACAGACCAAATAATGATGATCCAGACTTCTTTGACAATATATATAATAAATGATCAACCCTGCAAGCAATTCAAGACAATATTATTATGGTGGGAGATTATAATTCTGTTTTAAATAGCTCAATGGACCGTAAAGGAAATCACACCACAATCAATCACCCTCATGCTCTTAAGGAAATCGTGAATGTCATGGATACATTAGAACTAGTAGATATATGGAGGCTTAGATATCCTGATCAAGTGAGATATACATGGCGGAGACTCAGTCAAGCTAGTCGTCTTGACTTCTTTCTTATGTCATTCTCGTTGGCACGAAAAGTTTAAAAAGTGTTGATGGGGGACAGAATGCGGTCGGACCATCATATAATTGGCATATACATTACTCTTACTGAATTTCCACGTGGGCGAGGATATTGGAAATGTAATCAAAGCCTATTGGATGATAATTTATTTTTAACTAGGACAAAGGAATTTATAACTGATAAAAAATGTTATAAATTGATTTGCATTTTAATGAGGGAAATAAGTATTTGACCCCCTCTCAATCAGAAAGATTTCTGGCTCCCAGGTGTCTTTTATACAGGTAACGAGCTGAGATTAGGAGCACACTTTTAAAGGGAGTGCTCCTAATCTCATGTTGTTACCTCTATAAAAGACACCTGTCCACAGAAGCAATCAATCAATCAATCTTGGGTGAGAACCTCCTTCCCTCAGCCAGGGCATTGAAAATGGGTCGTGGATGGGTATTCCAGCATGACAATGACCCAAAACACACGGCCAAGGCAACAAAGGAGTGGCTCAAGAAGAAGCACATTAAGGTCCTGGAGTGGCCTAGCCAGTCTCCAGACCTTAATCCCATAGAAAATCTGTGGAGGGAGCTGAAGGTTCGAGTTGCCAAACATCAGCCTCGAAACCTTAATGACTTGGAGAAGATCTGCAAAGAGGAGTGGGACAAAATCCCTCCTGAGATGTGTGCAAACCTGGTGGCCAACTAAAATAAACGTCTGACCTCTGTGATTGCCAACAAGGGTTTTGCCACCAAGTACTAAGTCATGTTTTGCAGAGGGGTCAAATACTTATTTCCCTCATTAAAATGCAAATAAATGTATAACATTTTTGACATGCATTTTTATGGATTTTTTTGTTGTTATTCTGTCTCTTACTGTTCAAAGAAACCTACCATTAAAATTATAGACTGATCATGTCTGTCAGTGGGCAAACGTACAAAATCAGCAGGGGATCAAATACTTTTTTCCCCTCACTGTATGTGTATGTATTAATATATATATATATATATATATATATATATATATATATAAAACATGTGGGATTGGAAGTGATGCAGACAATTACATTGATGGAAGTTACAATCTGCAATATTAAGCTGATCTACCCCCCCAAAAAAAAAAAAAGATTCATTAATATTTCCTTGTAGGGTGTACAGTGGGGAAAAAAAGTATTTAGTCAGCCACCAATTGTGCAAGTTCTCCCACTTAAAAAGATGAGAGGCCTGTAATTTTCATCATAGGTACACGTCAACTATGACAGATAACATGAGAAAAAATAATCCTGAAAATCACATTGTAGGATTTTTTATGAATTTATTTGCAAATTATGGTGGAAAATAAGTATTTGGTCACCTACAAACAAGCAAGATTTCTGGCTCTCACAGACCTGTAACTTCTTCTTTAAGAGGCTCCTCTGTCCTCCACTTGTTACCTGTATTAATGGCACCTGTTTGAACTTGTTATCAGTATAAAAGACACCTGTCCACAACCTCAAACAGTCACACTCCAAACTCCACTATGGCCAAGACCAAAGAGCTGTCAAAGGACACCAGAAACAAAATTGTAGACCTGCATCAGGCTGGGAAGACTGAATCTGCAATAGGTAAGCAGCTTGGTTTGAAGAAATCAACTGTGGGAGCAATTATTAGGAAATGGAAGACATACAAGACCACTGATAATCTCCCTCGATCTGGGGCTCCATGCAAGATCTCACCCTGTGGGGTCAAAATGATCACAAGAACGGTGAGCAAGAATCCCAGAACCACACGGGGGGACCTAGTGAATGACCTGCAGAGAGCTGGGACCAAAGTAACAAAGCCTACCATCAATAACACACTACGCCGCCAGGGACTCAAATCCTGCAGTGCCAGACGTGTCCCCCTGCTTAAGCCAGTACATGTCCAGGCCCGTCTGAAGTTTGCTAGAGTGCATTTGGATGATCCAGAAGAGGATTGGGAGAATGTCATATGGTCAGATGAAACCAAAATATAACTTTTTGGGGGGACCTAGAATGCTGAGTTGCATCCAAAGAACACCATACCTACTGTGAAGCATGGGGGTGGAAACATCATGCTTTGGGGCTGTTTTTCTGCAAAGGGACCAGGACGACTGATCCGTGTAAAGGAAAGAATGAATGGGGCCAGGTATTGTGAGATTTTGAGAGAAAACCTCCTTCCATCAGCAAGGGCATTGAAGATGAAACGTGGCTGGGTCTTTCAGCATGACAATGATCCCAAACACACCGCCCGGGCAATGAAGGAGTGGCTTCGTAAGAAGCATTTCAAGGTCCTGGAGTGGCCTAGCCAGTCTCCAGATCTCAACCCCATAGAAAATCTATGGAGGGAGTTGAAAGTCTGTGTTGCCCAGCGACAGCCCCAAAACATCACTGCTCTAGAGGAGATATGCATGGAGGAATGGGCCAAAATACCAGCAACAGTGTGTGAAAACCTTGTGAAGACTTACAGAAAACGTTTGACCTGTGTCATTGCCAACAAAGGGTATATAACAGTAGTATTGAGAAACTTTTGTTATTGACCAAATACTTAGTTTCCACCATAATTTGCAAATAAATTCATAAAAAATCCTACAATGTGATTTTCTGGAATTTTTTTCCTCATTTTGTCTGTCATAGTTGACGTGTACCTATGATGAAAATTACAGGCCTCTCTCATCTTTTTAAGTGGGAGAACTTGCACAATTGGTGGCTGACTAAATACTTTTTTTCCCCACTGTATGTTTTTATAAAATAATTCCCACATTCAACGAACCAGGGATCAAATTGCTAAGGCTAGGCTAGGTAGCAAACTAAGATGCTTATCTATTTGTAAGGCTAAAATATTCAGTGTTCAGGGGAAGTATTTGGTCAATAACAAAAGTTTCTCAACACTTTGTTATATACCCTTTGTTGGCAATGACACAGGTCAAACGTTTTCTGTAAGTCTTCACAAGGTTTTCACACACTGTTGCTGGTATTTTGGCCCATTCCTCCATGCAGATCTCCTCTAGAGCAGTGATGTTTTGGGGCTGTCGCTGGGCAACACAGACTTTCAACTCCCTCCAAAGATTTTCTATGGGGCTGAGATCTGGAGACTGGCTAGGCCACTCCAGGACCTTGAAATGCTTCTTACGAAGCCACTCCTTCGTTGCCCGGGCGGTGTGTTTGGGATCATTGTCATGCTGAAAGACCCAGCCACGTTTCATCTTCAATGCCCTTGCTGATTGAAGGAGGTTTTCACTCAAAATCTCACGATACATGGCCCCATTCATTCTTTCCTTTACACGGATCAGTCGTCCTGGTCCCTTTGCAGAAAAACAGCCCCAAAGCATGATGTTTCCACCCCCATGCTTCACAGTAGGTATGGTGTTCTTTGGATGCAACTCAGCATTCTTTGTCCTCCAAACACGACGAGTTTAGTTTTTACCAAAAAGTTCTATTTTGGTTTCATCTGACCATATGACATTCTCCCAATCCTCTTCTGGATCATCCAAATGCACTCTAGCAAACTTCAGACGGGCCTGGACATGTACTGGCTTAAGCAGGGGGACACGTCTGGCACTGCAGGATTTGTGTCCCTGGCGGCGTAGTGTGTTACTGATGGTAGGCTTTGTTACTCTAGTCCCAGCTCTCTGCAGGTCATTCACTAGGTCCCCCCGTGTGGTTCTAGGATTTTTGCTCACCGTTCTTGTGATCATTTTGACCCCACGGGGTGAGATCTTGCGTGGAGCCCCAGATCAAGGGAGATTATCAGTGGTCTTGTATGTCTTCCATTTCCTAATAATTGCTCCCACAGTTGATTTCTTTAAACCAAGCTGCTTACCTATTGCAGATTCAGTCTTCCCAGCCTGGTGCAGGTCTACAATTTTGTTTCTGGTGTCCTTTGACAGCTCTTTGGTCTTGGCCATAGTGGAGTTTGGAGTGTGACTGTTTGAAGTTGTGGACAGGTGTCTTTTATACTGATAAAGTTCAAACCGGTGCCATTAATACAGGTAACAAGTGGAGGACAGAGGAGCCTCTTAAAGAAGTTACAGGTCTGTGAGAGCCAGAATCTTGCTTGTTTGTAGGTGGGCCAAATACTTATTTTCCACCATAATTTACCAGTTTCATTTAAGGACCAAAGGATTGTTAAAGCTTGGTCACAAATGGATCTTCCAAATGGACAATGACCCCAAGCATACTTCCAAAGTTGTAGCAAAATGGCTTAAGGACAACATAGTCAAGGTATTGGAGTGGCCATCACAAAGCCCTGACCTCAATCCTGTAGAAAATTTGTGGGCGGAACTGAAAAAGCGTGTGTGAGCAAGGAGGCCTACAAACCTGACTCAGTTACACCAGCTCTGTCAGGAGGAATGGGCCAAAAATCACCCAAACTTATTGTGGGAAGCTTGTGGAAGGCTACCTGAAACGTTTGACCCAAGTTAAACAATTTAAAGGCAATGCTACCAAATATTAATTGAGTGTATACAAACTTCTGACCCACTGGGAATGTGATGAAATAAATCATTCTCTCTACTATTATTCTGACATTTCCCATTCTTAAAATAAAAGTGGTGATCCTAACTGACCTAAGACAGGGAATTTTTACTAGGATTAAATGTCAGGAATTGTGAAAAACTGAGCTTAAATGTATTTGGCTAAGGTGTATGTAAACTTCAACTGTATGTATATATATATATATATATATATATATATAAAAAAAACATGGGGGATTGGAAGTGATGCAGACAATTACATTGATGGAAGTTACAATCTATCTGATCTACCCCATAAAAAAACAAAACAGTCATTATTATTTCCTTGTAGGGTGTATGTATTGATATGATATGTATTGATATGTACAGTGATGTTATACATGTATTGTGAGGAATGTACAAAGTAATACATATATTTAGTTTTTCGGTCCAATCACAAAGGGCATAGAAGAGAGAGAGATGGGCGTAGGAAATGTAGACGGTAAATATCTCCGAGAATGTTTATCTAAGTAGAGAGATTACAGAGAAAAACTTTAGAATGCATGTGTAAAATAGTGAAAAGAAAGAGAATGTGAAAAAGCCCAATATGGAGGGAGCTCAAGGAGGGAGACAAGAAAGGATCAGATGTCTGTGTATTTGTGTTTGAGAGAGCGAGAAAGAGACAGAGAGAGCAAAAGAGAGCGAGAAGGAACATGAACGAGAACGTCAAAGAGGGTGGAAGTACTACAATATAAGCCCATGTGCCTCTGCCTCCCATTCCAAACCAACTGTTTCCATTTAGAAAATTCTTGGAACCCATTTGTCTTCACGTGTTATTAAGTAAAGGGAAGAAGCTAATTATGAATGATTTAAATATCATGTTTCCTCAGCTGGCTACTGTCAGAGCCAGCACTGAGGCCCAGTGGATCTAGAGCTGGACCCGGTCATACAGACCTCACAGTAGAACACTACACGATCAGTAGGGCTTCACAACTGGCATGATAAACTCTCTCCATCTCCTCTCTCCTTCTCTCTACCTGTGACATGATTCAGCCTTTAGGGATCAAGGGGTGATGGATGCCTTCTTTCTGTATCAGTGACAATGTGTCTGCACCAGAGTTCACCCATATTCATTTTCAAAGCCAGAATGCAAATCAGTCCGTAGATCTACTCAGACTGTAAAACATCATGATGTACACAGTGGCTGTGAAAGCCTCCGACCACCTTGAGTGGGAGGTCTTCCTGTTCAATTATTCCAGTGTAAATCAAACATGGTTCACCCTACTCACAGAGAAACTTAACCTCTCCAGTGCAGAATATTGATCTACTATAACCTCTTGACTTGAGTGCAGCAGTGCACACATCCACTTCCTTAACCCAAATTCGAACACTTAATAATTTCTCGTATCTCAGCTTACATCCAGCACAGCTCGAATCCAAAAATCCCCCCCGAAAACCGACCACTGGTATCCAAATCTGCTGAGGCCCCCAAACACAAAATGGGTTGCCATGACGATAAGATAACCACTACTGGTTCCAAACAAAATTATTGTGCCTCACATACTAACCACAAATCCCCCAATGATGCACAGTATCATCCTGCCTTCAGAACTTAAGTGTTTCCTAATGTCATGAACCATCGTTACCTTGGCACGCTAGCCTTCCCCAGACTCAAAAGGATGGGTCATTGGGTTCACAGTCCTCACTGAAGACCTATATGAAGCACAGATCATGGACTGTCTTTTGCCGCATTCATAAACAAAAAAATGCTGCTAAATCCAATGATTAGTGCAGAGACACTTAAAATTAAACGATTACCATAATTATCCAATTTACATTTTGTGTACTGAGTGTTCTAATGTATTATCGTAGTCACATTTAGTCTGTATTGTAATGTTTTGTAGACTTTTCTCTCAACTGCCCTCATCCAGATCAACATATTTCCACTTCAGGCTGGTTTTACATCATGTAGGCCTAAGAAAATCCCCAGGAGATTAAAGGAAAGTATTTTTTACCTCATAGAAAACCTCTAATCTCTTCCTTTGTTTTCGCTCATCTAATACTGCTCATTATTAGCATTTGTTCTCTTTTTCTTGAGCCCCTGGCTTCGCATGTGTGGGTTGGGGTGGAATTAGCTGAAGGCCTCATCTTGTCTGAAGTGGTGGAGGGGATTACAGAGAGAGAGGTGGAGAGTTCACACCTGTCTGATCTCTCTTTGATTCCTCTCTGCGTTTGTTATTACATTACAACTGGAGATTAAGATGGAAGCCAAGTCGGCCTAACCAGGAAAGCCTTCCTGACCTATGAGAAATAGCTCTTTCATGGTTATCTTACTGTTCAACTTCAAACCAAGGATCTCCTTGTTCAAACAAAAACAAAAAAAGATTAAGGGTCATTAGAATGACCTAATATGGATACTTTAATACTGCAAAGTTGTTGAAGGGTTCAAGCTCAGTTTACACTTGATTTAACTTGCCAAAAATTACATGGTATGTCAAAGAAGGTAACAAAGCAGTCTCGGAAATCCAAGACCTAGGGCAGCAACAGTACTAGGTCTGGGATGAATGACAGATTCTCTTGGTTGTTCCGTGAGGGTGCTCTTCAGACAGACAACTCTCCCAACAAATCACGAGGCAGACACGTCGCGATTCGAAACCAACGTTTGCAGGCAAAACCTTTGCTGTGGTTTTAGTGAAGGAAGTTGATGCAAACTAGCCACTAGCAAAAATGCACTCATTAAAAATAACCTCTGATCTCCATCTTGCCAGCTACTATTTTGTGTCCAGGGGATGTTTACGATAGGGCAAGAAGCGTATAAGGCAGTGATTTAAAAAAGCTGGATGTACCAACGCCACCCTTTCCTCTATGCCAATCTGACGTTGTATACGTACAGGTATGTTAAGATGGATCATTGGTACATTGTGGGAGGCAAGCCGTCTGTCTAGAGTAGGTATGGGTAACTCCAGTCCTCGGGGGCCTGATTGGTCTCACCTTTGCCCCAGCCCCAGCTAACACACCTGACTCCAATAAATCAACTAATCGTGATTTTCAGTTTAGAATGCAATTCGTTTAATCACCTGTGTTTTTCTTGGGATGGGGAAAAAGTGTGACACCACTCCGGCCCCCGAGGACTGGAGTTGCCCATCCCTGGACTAGAAACTAGTAACAGACCACCAGGTGGGGGTCTTGAGTCACTTTGATTCTGGGAGACACTATTGATCGAGAGATTCATGACTCACATTTCTCACAAAAATCTCCTTGCACTTTGCAATTCTAATTCACCCTAAGAGGATATTATAGCCTTTGGAAAATGTTCAGTGGTGTGTGCATAGAGAGAGGTGGCGGTGTCTTGCTCGCCGACATTGATTTCTCGGTGTTTCACGCAGCTCTTCCAGCACCACTTGCGTCCAACACTGCAAACGTACGGCACCAACCACATTGGACTTGTTCAAACAAAGAGAGTGGACCAGGAGAGCGGTAGCATGTTATGATTGCGGATGGTGGTCAGTGCGTACGCTCCAAGAAACATACGGGCCTGCCTAGCGGGATTGAAAGAGTGGGTCTCTCCTCCCCTATACCTGCCTCACTCTGTCGTGCAGAAACACCGCTGTACAATAAAACCCACTGTTTCAGCCCTTACACATACATTAAATGGAGTAAAATAAACTGTTCTGTGTTATTCCCTGTAGACACACACACACACACACACAACTCCATCCAAAGGGCTGCACCCTCAGACAAACAAAACGTCCATCTGTGGAAACAAGTGATTAGCTGTCACGAAAAATGATTCATGATCAGATTTAATGCGTGCCCTCTTGTAGTTATAATGCAGTAAGTAAGTGCTATTCTCACACATGGACCATCCAATAGGATACAATGAGCCCTTGTTTCTAATAGAGAACTCTGCTTCTGTTGGCGTATGGTCCAATGTCTCCCATGCTCCATCTCAGCATCACTGATCGTCCCCACCCACTACGACTATGAGATGTGTGGCTCTTGTGTTTTCTCCCTCTTCTCTGGAGAGACAAATCACTCATCCCCTCTGCCAGCTAGTAGTATCTGACCTAAAAAGACCTCTACTCCCAGTTTCCTGCGCATCTCTTCCAAAACAACTTTTCAAAACCTTTTTCCTCTCTCTCTTTAGTTTCCTCCCCTTGTCTTAATCTCAGGGTTTACCCAATAGCAGGAGCAGGGCCTGGCTGCCTGCGTTAGGCCTTCCCAGGCCTCACTCTGCAGGTGGAATAGGACCTATGAGGGTGGGGACGGCTGTGTGTGTGTGTGCGTGAGACAGAGAGAATGTGTATGGGTGAGTGTGTGTCTGTTTTACAGAGAGAGAGTGAGCACCTGTAGAGGGATTGTGGTGTTGATCGGTAGAGTAGAGTGCTGGCAGCACTGAGCTCACACATTCCTGTGACCTGCAGCTCACCCTGAGGCACTTGGCAGAACATCATAACAGACTAGCACTGATACGCTTCTGAGAAAGACAAAACCAGCACCGCTTTTCACAGAAGCCAAGTTCCACCCTTCTGTTTGTCTGGGTATGACCTGAAGGGGCGGTCAGTTGTCGGACTCTAAAATAAAGATCAAAAGTCCAGGATGTGTCTAAACTTTCAATTCAGAACTCAAAGCAAACAAAAACATGGAAAATTAAATACTTTATTGAAAAATTATGAAAATAGAAATATCCGACCACACCTCCGGTCAAATAGTTTCAATTTACAGTTGCATTGCCTCCCATACGTCCATAGGGAGCGACTACATTACATTTCTGTCATCCAAAAAGAGAGCTTTCGGTCACCGCCAATTACACAGAGTGGGAGGGACCTGTGCCAGCTTAGACCCGCCCCCACCGTGGCTGATCCAATCATCACGGGCTGCAACAACACCACCATATAAACATAAGAAACCCGGTCCAGGAAGCATGTCACATTATCCCCATTCCCAACACTCTTACTGAACATTATTCCCACACTTTTATTACTCAGAAACTGACACACTGTGCCAATGCAAACAGCCAAACACACAGCTCACTGACCTGCGGGTGACCCAAGTGATGCACTAGTAACTGACTGCTGATCTTGCCTGGACATCCTGTTGTGGAGAAGAGATTCTCATTGGCCCGAGACCACCTGGAAGACCATGAGACCCGTGGTTACAGTAATTGCTATCACCATTATCATCATCACCACAGCCATTATCATTGACGTCGTCGGCAGCAGTGGTATCAGCAGGACTACTGCAAAATGCATCACAATACTCTGAAGGTCAGAGGAATTGGAAGCATTCGGGATCCTTGGGACGTCCCTACCCTAAACCCTAACCTCTACCCTAACCCTTATCTTAACCATTTCAAATGTTAACTTCAAAATGGGGTAGGGACATCCCAAGGATACCAGATAGCAAGGACCTTGGAAGCAAGGACAAAGCAGTTACCTGAAGTTTCCTGCTCGTTCTACATGGGCAGGCCTCTTCTCTTGTGGGTAACTACACACAGACAAATAACCATTAACAAATCCCAGTGTTATACAGCAGGTAACTGAGGTGAAGGGTAACCTTGTCTGTGACATAAAGACTTGTGTTAGCTCTTGGGGCTAACAAAGTATTGTGGCGTGCTAGATACCCGGGTTCGAACCCAGTTGGTCACAAGCATCTGTCCTGCCACTCACCTGGAGCGGGTGATATCCCAGATGACCCAGTCGCTGCCCGTCACCGCGCCCACCTTGATGGTGTTGGTGAGACACCAGTCGGCCGACATGAGCGGCGACTGGCCACAATCCAGAGAAAGAATGGCCTGCTGTGTAACCAGGTCATAGAAGCGGATCGTCCCCTTCTTCTCAGCAACCATCAGCTGGACGGAGGACAGAGATTTAGTATCACTACATCTTTCACTCTCACACTAGATCTTTTTTCACTCCCACACTAGATCGTATAACTCTCACTAATTATTTAAACTCTCATTATGAAACTGGAGAGCACTGTTACTGTACGCACCTTGAAGACATCTTCAGGATGCCAGCACACACTGACGCCAGGGGAGCGTAGTCTGAATGTAGTGGTTTCATTGCCCTCCAGGTCCCACACCCTGTGGGGACAAGAGAGGCCATCAGGCATGAATGGGAAAGGGCACTAGCTGGACACTACAGGATGGTCGGAGAGGGGGTGTGCTCAGGGGAAATAAACATTTTAAGGATTGTAAGAAAATTCCCGTTTAGAAAACAACCTCAGACAGGATGTCTGGGATTCAAACAAACAACCGGGTCTGAAGCTTCAGATAAAACAGGTCCTGTCAAAAATGACAAATTATCAAGTCCAAAAAACAAGATTAATAAGCACTCAATTAGCTGTACTGGAGCGGGACGCGCAGCAGTGCTAAAAACACCTTCCGGAGTCCAGCCACCCTGTGTGTGGAGAGGATGATGACGCGCAGAACAGTGCAGGCAGACGCCTTGGTGCTGACAGCACACAAAACAAAGGATTACACACGTTAATGGCAGCTAAAAATACCAAACAGAACAAAAGACATCATGGCTGGCTGGCTGTTTTTGTCAAAAAAGCTAGGTTACAAGCTTCCATCCAATGCACCTTTCCCCAGGCGTTTGTGTGACTCTTCGGAATATACTCTAATGAGTGAACAGCACACAACAGGTCTGTAATGGTGACAGTGTTTTTGTGAAAGCACGTAATGCCTGCGTGTAATTTATCTAACTTCTGCCAGTTGTCCAAGAGATGTGCACACAGAGCCTCACTAGTACCGCCCTTCTTTCATGGAAAAAGGGATCTTGGTTGTAATCTGCCCCGAGCTGTGAAGACAGACGGCTGGGGCCCTGCGCTGACGAGCGAGAAGACCGAGGATACAAGGCAAACATGCGCGCAGATGTAATAAATCACTTGGAGAGGACAGGCTGCTCCCGAGACCACGATCTACTCTTTAACCACATCTGAAAGCCCTCCTCAGCGAACACAAGGCCTCATATCTAACAGAACATTCCCCTGAACCAGGAGGGAATAAACTTGCAAGCGGTTTTTAAAAAAACAAGGACCGTGAGATTGGGAGCGATGTGAAGGCGCTGACTGATGAGGTCATGCAGAAGACATCATCTAATAAAGCCCCAAAGTCCTTCTAAATGTCAATCATGTTGGAGAGGTGTCTTCAGTGGAGAGGATATGATTATGCCCCATCCCAGATGAACACCTCAGTAAACAAACATTCAACTTTTCCTGTGTCTTCCCTGCAGGGGATAAAACACCCTCATATTTCTCCATGAGAGCTTTTGCTTCTTTACTCGACACAGAAGTCAGAATGGCCCTGTGTAGAGCGCAGTGCAGACCCTCCTCCTTAGAGCATGAGTGAGGTTGGAAGCCTCAGACCACAGCAGACAAACAAGCATAAACCCTCTCTTCTCAGACCACTCGCCAAGCAGAGTTTAATCGCACGCTACGCCGCATCCGGCCAAGTTGTGGTCAACCACCTTGCCCTTCAAATGGGGAAAGATTATTATTTTTTAAACATAACCCTTGCTGAACAAGGTGAAAGGCATGAAAGGGGGCAAGAAACAAGACTGAAACCGCCACTGACAAAGCACTGTGTAATTGCATAACACTACAACTGACATGACATCAAGCAATAACACTGGGCTTCATGTACAATAGAGTTGAAAGGCAAGACAGCATTTGAAGTCTGTGTGTAGATGTGAGTGAGAAAACAGCAGCTGCAGGTGTTTCATTTTGGTCAATGTTTTCCAAATGAGCGTAGGAAATGGGAAATGTAGTGTGCACTGTGTGAACTAAATGATTGGAGAGTGCAGGGTAAATAACCTTGGCGACTCTCAGGGGAACAAGGGTTGAGAAAGACTAACAGTAATCCCACCTCAGAGCCTCACAGGGGAGTCCAGGCGGAGGTGCACAGCACACCATCTCCACCTCCCCAAAACCACATCAGCATCCATCTTGATCGGATCTGCTCAAGTGTCTTGAACAATAACATGATCTTTAACAGACATTTGGACTGTTGAAATAATTATCTCAGCCATTAGTCATTTTTATTGGATCAGTTTGCTCCTCTCGCTAGAGTTGATGATGGGATCTCCTAGCACGGAGCAAAAAAAAAAGCGTGAGAACAGGAGAAGAAAAGGTTAAAGGAAAAGAGGAGATGAAAGATTGGGATTTTGTCGAGTGGACAGCCTAACTGACAGAAAGCTTGACTGGCGGGTTCGAGTGGGGAGAAAGTCTCAAACTATTGTGATAACGCCTCAGAAATACTTTCCAAAAGGATGACACAGAGAGATCATACACAAAATAATTTCTTAAGACATAAAATAAATATTTGAGATCCCACACATCAAATAGTTGCAGCAGGTGTCTCTGTTCAAGCCCCTTAAGTAAGCTGTATTCTGCTGACCCATCTGAACACGAAACCAGAGCGGGCTGAACTGAGGAATACATCCAGAAACATACCTACTGCAAATACAATTGTAAGCTAACAGACACAATGGGACCCCAGCCCAGAGAGGTTGGGACCTCTGGCAGACACTCTGACCTCAGTGGGAGGCTGTGACCTTCTTCTAGCTGCTACAGGTGGCTACTCCGGCTGGAGTAGAGTTCCCACGCAGGAAAGGACAGTGTTGACAAAGAGCACAGCAGAGTTATGGTAGGACAACCTGCCAAGTGTACGAACACACACACACACACTCAGTAGAGAAGCAGGTCCACTGTTCTTTTCTCTCACCCTATCAGGGGTCTCAGTTTGTGTGGGCTGCCTGGAAGGCCCCTCTCCTGTTAACTTGATCTTTCCCTTGTTCCACCTCACTCTTCCTCCTGCGTCCCATATTTTCTCAACGTGACAGAATTTAAATCTTTCTGCAGATGGAGCCGAGCAAGCGTACCCCTGTTTTCTCTGGCCAGACCATTATAGAGGGAGGCTGAGGGAGAACTGAGCACTGATGTTTCTCGCAGTAGCAGAGCTCCAGCCCCAGCTCAGGCCTCTCTCTCTCCCCACATCCCTCATCCTAACCAACACTTTAGAGCATTTAGGCAGGGCGGAAGGAGATTGAGGAGATAATTCAACCATGGCCTGTATTTGATGACTGGAAGTGTAACCGCGAGCTCCAGGCTCCTGAAATGATGAGTTTATGAATAGAAAGCAGATGTTTCAGGTGTGTTTCTCATCCAGGGTGCGTTGGGTTTAAAGATGGCGATGAGAGACGTGCTCTTTCAGGCTCTAGCGGAGAGAAAAGTAGGGGCCAGTCATTCATTTCTAAGCTGCTAACTTTATTAAATGTACTCACCCATCAATCACAGATAAAACAATACGAGCTCACATTGAGGGGGAAGGGGTAAGAGGGAGTAGGATTGGTGCCAGGCTTTCACCCTAGCAACAACCCTAATTACTAATGTAACAGGAGGTCCCTCAGGTTCAGTGGAGGCTGCTCAGGGGAGAACGGCTCATAATAATGGCCGAAACGGAGCAAATGGAATAGCAAACACGTGGAAACCATGTGTTTGATACCATTCCACTGATTCCGCTCCAGTCATTACCACGAGCCCGTTCTCCCCAATTAAGGTGCCACCAACCTCCTGTGCTCAGGTTACACCATGGTTACCCCATGGTTACTCCTGGCTACCGACATACTCTTTCCTTCTACTTCTACTGATTGATAGGCCACATTGGGGGACCTTGTTAAGTGTTAACCCTAAGGAGAGGAAAAACCTCCAGCAGTACTGAAGCTAATTGGATTTCCATATTTAACCAATTACTTCGAAAAGCTGGAGAAGCGGGGTGGTGTGCTTACGCACGGCAACACCGGGGTGTGTTGTGATAAGCATTGGGTTTCATTGTGGAAACACAGTCAGGACTTTCTGCACCATTAACAGAGAACAGAACACAGAACCAAGAGCTGGGGGAAGACACTCATATTCTTCTTGCTGAATGAGAAGACTGACCTGCATGTATGGTCGTCGCTGACCGAAGCGATTTGTTTCCCCTCTGTGGGTTCGAACACTAAGTGGTTGATGTAGCTGGTGTGACCCTCCATCACCTAGACAACCACACAGACATCACCACAGAAACACAGAATATACAATTAACAAACGCTGCATTTGGTGCGAGTGTACCATAGACTGTAGGACAGTGCCCTGGCTCCTTGTGTGTGCTAGGTTCTTGAATAGGCTAATATAAAAGCCATTCACTAAGTACCTACTGCCAGTGTGCTACATACAAATGGCTTGATTTAAAGAAACCAGATGCCAACTAAACTGACAGGTGCAGTGGTAGTTCCAGCGTGATCTAGTCGTGAGGGCGGGAGTTCCAGTACTCTACCTTGACTTCATGTTTATTCTGAAGATCAGAAGTCAACAGCCTCACTTTTCTGTCTGCTGCTGCAGTGCAAAATCTGGAGAGAGAGAGAGACAGAGACAGACAGAGAGAGAGAGAGACAGACATAAACAAAGAAAGAGAACATCAAAACAGCCCATCCTCCTCAAAGACACGCGTACGTACACACACCCAGGCACACGTACATGTCTATGCGTGTCTGACTGCACTGCAACGTGGGTTGACACCTTTGGATGTTTGCGTCCGTGTGGTAAAGACTTGGACATGGTTCAATGGAAACACTGCCAGGGAGATTCTAACTGCGAAGATAAACATGGAGAAAAACAAGATTCCTCACCGACCTCATGCCATTTCAGCATTTCTGTTTCAGAGACTAACTAACGCCTGGAAGAGGACTTTGCCTCTAATCAGTCGTAGTATATACCAGCGCCTGCAATTACTTACACAATTACACTAACTCACTTATGACAAGAAAAACACACATATCGCAAGAAAAACAGACGCATTTTCACGCATTTGCAGTCGCAGGAACAGACGGATTTGGCATGATGTCGCGATACACAGCCAGAATATTCTCCCAAGCAACTGGTACAGGTGATTATACCAACAACTGATACATAGCCTAGTAGTCAGCGAATTGTGGAGGGCATTTCACCCTTCTTTCAACTCAATTGCTGGGCATTGCCAAAGATCTATCATCAAACCTCTAATTCAATACATAACTCACAGTCTTGTGATACAAATGTTTCTAACTAGATTTAGCCTATGCTGCAGGAATATTGTCAATGAAAGAACAGGTGCCAAGTGGGAGAACATTTCTTCATGAGACAATCTTCAAAGAGTTGTCAATGTCACAGGGTTGACTAATGATTGGGTCTGTTTTGGCCCTGAGCTGATGCTGGGGAAGTGTTCCTGACAGTTCACCAGAATCTACCAGGAGGTTGCTGACTGGACCTCACATGGCTGGCCTGGTAGAATCTGGAAGCATCCCAGCATAAGCCCCCTGCCCCCCTCCTCCTCCTCCTCCTCCTAGCCAGCCCCTGCCTCAGGCACGCCCGTGAGAACACTGTACTTTTCCTGGAAGGCATAACTACGTGCAAAACTAGGGGAGGGACAGAACTTGAGCGGAGGAGCCATCAGCGCAATAACATGTGCGCACGTCACACGCCGGCCCCCAGGGCCCTGCAGACTTAACCACAGAAGGCCAGGAAGTATTGCTGCCTTTCCCTTTCAATTAAAGCAACTTGGAAACATCTCCCGCGGGATTACAGCATTCCCATCCACAATTCCAATTAAGAGGAAAACCTTGCTTTCTATGTAATAACGTTCAACTTCCTTTTTTTATCAAACCACACCTGAAATAACTGGGTTGGTATTCTTGCAGTGGGCCACTGAGAATAGTAGGATGACTGGGCTTCATACGGTAGGTGAATGTGGAATGCAGCTGGGCCAAGACTACTGAGGGTTTTATACCACTGACTGTCACAGAGGTGGTGTAGATGGATGATCCAGAGATATATTTAGATAAATATATGGCTCTGGGATAAGCAGGTGACAGGTGGTCCTGCCGTACATACCTACACGTACTCTACGGTCACAAGACACAAGCCTCATTGTTCCAAGAATTTCTTAGCAAACAGCTGGAGGCAGGGCTTTCTCCTATAGAGCTCCACTTTTATGAAATGGTTTGCCGATTCATATGAGAGACGCAGATTCGGCCTCATCTAAATCTTTCCTGAAAACTCATCTCTTCAGTAGGTCCTATGATTGAGTGTAGTCTGGAACCAGGGGAGCTTTTCACTATACTCATCTTGAGTGGGTTGAGTCACTGATGTTATCTTCCTGTCTGGTCTTGCGCCCCCTCAGGCTCGTGCGGTGGGGAAGATCTTCGTGGGCTATACTCTACCTTGTCTCAGGGTAGTAAGTTGGTGGTCTGTTGATATCCCTCTAGTGGTGTGGGGTGCTGTGCTTTGGCAAAGTGGGTAGGGGTTATATCCTGCCTGGTTGGCCCTGTATCATCAGACAGGGCCACAGTGTCCCCCCCCCCCCCGTCTCAGTCCCCAATATCTATGCTGCAATAGTCTATCTGCCGGGGAGCTAGGGTCAGTCTGTCCTATCTGATGTTTTTCTCCTGTCTTATTTGGAGTCCTGTGTGATCTTAAGTATATTCTCTCCCTCTCATGTATTGCTCGCATGCTCGCTCTTTGAGGTTTTAGGCTGGGTTTCTGTATAAGCACTTTGTCTCATCTGCTGGTGTAAAAAGGGGCTTTATAAATACATTTGATTGATTGACTGAGGTAGGAGCTGATGATGAAGAGAGAGAAAAAAAAACAGTAGTGCAGGTTCAACCCACAGTGGTGGCTGGTCCAAATAACCAACTAACCACGTCTTCAGTCTGCACCATGTTGAGCTGAATCAGTTGTTACTTATTGCAGGGCTGGAATGAAAGCCTGCACACCAAGCAGCACTCCAGGACCAGAGTTGAAGACACCCTGATGTAAAGACAGAAGACAGCTGCAAGAACTAAAAGGAGTGAGGTACCTGATGAGTTGGGGCAGCTTGTCCAGCCGAGACTCAGGGCTCCATGCAAGGCAATCCACACGTAACGCATGATGGAAAACACGCAGTGTGGTGAATTCAACCCCCTCTACCTCCATGTCCTCCTCCTGCACAAACAGTGGTTCACATCACACATGGCACCAAAACACTGACGGTTTCTCAATTCCTCATGTCCCCTATCCATGCCTCCTCAGAGGGGAGGAACCTTGGGAGGATCTTCCTTCGATGCATTTTGAGAATGGAGGCGAGAAGAGAGGACATGAGGAAGAGGAAAAATGAAGAAAGAACCAGTGGCTACTGAGAATGTGGATCTGGCAGGCTACCACTCACCTGGAAGCGGCAGGTGCCTACCACCACATACTGGTTTCCTCCATAGGCCAGGAGGGACGCAGCTGAGCCACTGTCAAAGGGGCTGAACTCCACCACATGGACGTAGTCGTCACAGGGTACTGTGTAGCTGGCTCCCCGACCTGAGTCCTCCATGCTAAATGTATTTTGGTGATGCTTATGTCCGGTGTATTTACTGTTTGGTTTGACTTTACCACCTGCATCAGGGTTGAAGAGGGGTTAATCTTTCAAAAGAGAGGATATTAAATTATTAGAACTTCCTTATACAGAAACAGCACATCTGTATTGAAAGCCAAAAATAATACTTCCGTATGCACACTCAAGCGAGCCAAAGCTTACATACGTCCAGTAGTGGGCTAACTTGTTTGGGGGGATTCATATAGCTTAAAGCCTGAACATTAATGTGCCTGTTTAATTTATGTGGTAGTCACTGAGAAACTTATTGTAGGGAGTGACAATAAGATAATCAAGAGATCATCAGAACAGCCCTAAATGCAAAACCCATCAGTCATATAGATCCCTTGCTACAGTTTCCACTAGGAGAGACATACCAGACAAACACAGACTTGTCTGGTTTTTCCAGGAAGGGTGGGGTGAAACACCCTTCTCCTGGGCAATGTGGGTCCGGGGGTTGTTTAGATGGAAGCTTTTTAAATGTGTGAAAGGTCATAGGTGACAGCTGTCACAGTGATCACATAATGGGACACCATTCTTGCTGTTTTACTGACATCATGTAAGCTGTAGGTTCCCAAACCTTTTCAATCAGGCCCCGCTTCCAGCATTGGGGAACATCCCGCGCCCCACGTCTATTTCTATGGGCACAAACACTGTTCATGACACAAACTGTTCACACCCATCTTGTTGGCAGAGAGAAAATGTTGCAGGTTTTAAAGCTTATTTCCTGCAATTCTACACATTTTGTCATGGGGTGCAGAGAAAATGTTGCCATTTTAAAGGTAATTTTCTTGCAGCTCTATACACTTTGCCATTTCTAATGTGTATACATGTGATATGAGTGACCAAAACATTACAACAAAATATATGTGCTAAAAAACCTTAGCTGACATGGGCTAGTTGATCTGGACATTTCTGACAAGTTATAAATAGGTATTCAATGACTGACATTACATTTACATTTTAGTCATTTAGCAGACGCTCTTATCCAGAGCGACTTACAGTTAGTGAATACATATATATATTTTTTTATACTGGCCCCCCGTGGGAAACGAACCCACAACCCTGGCGTTGCAAACGCCATGCTCTATCAACTGAGCTACATCCCTGCCGGCCATTCCCTCCCCTACCCTGGACGACGCTGGGCCAATTGTGCGCCGCCCATGAGTCTCCCGGTCGCGGCCGGCTGCGACAGAGCCTGGATTCGAACCAGGATCTCTAGTGGCACAGTTAGCACTGCGATGCGGCGCCTTAGACCACTGCGCCACTCAGAAGACATGACGAGGAAACTGATGACGCACTACCCAATTTCGAAATTGCATTCTACTATTCCAACTTTCAAGACTACGTTTAAAGCCGGACTGAGTTCCTAAAATAAATTATGATAATAATTGTATGTTTTTATTTTGGGGGTGGGGGGGGGGCTCAGGGGGTGCACCCCACAGTTTGGGGACCATTGGGCTATTGGACTCCAAAGGTTAACATCAAGAGGGGGATCCACTAAGTGAGGGCAACAGAACAACATTTCACTACACTGGATCATTCAGTCTCAAGTGTTATTGTTTGCTGATTGCAGTCTTAAAGGGGCAATGTGCAGCACAAACAATTACAAAGCGGGCCACCCCACCACTGATTTGGTAAACAGCTGCAGGATGGGGCTTGAGAAATGTAACCACTCAAATTCATGGACAGAGCTATGGATACAAGTACTGACCATCTATGACAGGGGTAGGCAACCCTGGTCCTGGAGTGCCATAGGCACTTCATGTTTTTGATTTAACTGACCTGGAAGACCAGGTGTGTTGAATTTAGGCAATCACTGAACTGATCAATTAACTAAGTAACTCAGTGTGGTGCCTAGTTGTGACAAAATCCTGCAGTACCTGTGGCACTCCAGGAACAGGGTTACCTACCCCTGATCTATAACAAAATTATAGCATTCATCATGTTTTGAAGCTATACAGTGTTTTTCAAAAAAATTAATAAAAACAAGCTTATATTTTGGGTTCTGATGAGGGTACGACAGTTGAACTAAGCTCATGAGGCATCTATGAGTTATATTATTCAATAATCAATGAGTATGCTATTTATATATAATTAATTTAAAATGTCTAAAATGATTGTAGCAACTTCAGATTGCTCCTTTAAGTAGGCTAGCTAATTACTCTAGTTAGCGTACTGGCGACTTAGTTTGCTCCGAAATACTTTAGATAGACCCTAATTTCAGGAGTATCATTAGGTTTGGCTAGGCATTAACAATTCAAGTGTATGTTAAACATAGAGGCCATCTAGTTAATAGTCAAGGAGGCATGTGCTGGCTATTGCTAGCTTAACAGTGCACAAACGGTCAGTACTGTAGCTAGCTAGAATACTTAGTCTAACTACTGGCCTCTAGCTATCTTCCTTGTAACCATCAGAAAAGGTGGTAGCCTTGGCTTCAGGACATGCTCTGATAATGTAACATTGTGAAATGCTAGGTAACTAGCAGTTTCCCCCCCCCCCACCCCACTGTTGTACAAGCTAGCTTACAATATAGCAGAGCTTGCTAACTACTAACGTGTAAACATGAAGCCAGTTGGCTAACTAGCTGTTAATAACATACAACTAATGTCAGCCAGCGAAACTAGCCAAACGCTAGCAGCCTACAACACAATACAGCGATTAAAAGTGATGACAGCCTTTGGCAATATAATACAAAATATTTCAACAAATAACGCGGCTTTTTAACTAGCATCGATAGCTAGCTAATTCATAACCATACCTATGCGCGCCTTTCAGCATGTTCGCTACAACCAACTGCATTGGTTCAGTTGGTGTCCGTGTTGGAACGTACCATGCCATTTTATTTTAAATTCTAGGGGGGCCGCGCTGAGATTAAAACGAAATTATGCACCGCTTTGACACATTACACACTATTGATATATTAAAAACACTTTATACAAAATAATAAACGTTCTCACACGAAACATAGTCAGGTATGCTAAAAACAATATTTGGTTATGTGATAAAGAACCACAGATAGCCATCGTAACAACCTAGGCGTGGTTAGATGATGAAGCAGAATCTGATTGGTCAGAGTAGTTATTTAGCAGGAGTTTAAAAAATAATTCAAAGCGTCAGCTGGTTGTGTATTGGCTACGTGGGTGGTAAGTGTATTTTGGCGATACTTTGACGATACTTTGACTATATCCCTAAAATATTCGAGTTATCGAAATAGGTGGTGTTTGAGGCTGTAACATTTGTTTAGGTAAGTATGTGTTTAATGGTGTTTTATTTTTTCACTAGCTACCAGCAACCTACATCGGTATTGTTGTAACTAAGTTTTGTATCCACTTTAATTAACATTAACCATTTTAACTAATACATTGTGACATGCCGTCATACACTACTTTGTTTGCATTAGTTACATTGCAGTTTTGAAGGTTTCAGTACATATAACTAAACATTGTCTTTGTTTGTCACCTTCACAGGGACAATGGCGACTTTAGAGGACAGTCTGAAGACAATAGTGAGAACCTTCAGGCGAGAATGCCACCGGGTTCTTGAGTCAGAGAGGACTACCATCCACGGGGCAGATGGAATGTTGATGGTTCTACAGCTGGCCATTGCAGAGGTCAATAAACAGGTAAAACTGGTAGCAGTTATAAGCTATGAATCCCTTACTGTGGGCAGTGGCCTACAGCAGTTTCGCGAGGCCCCTACAAGACTGAGAAAGCCCCCCCAAAGTAGTTAATTTTTTGTGGGGGGGATCTGTTAACTTCCTAGAATTATACACATTTTGCCATGAGGCTAAGAGAAAATGTTGCAGTTTAACAGCTAATTTCCTGTAATTCATAACATTTTTTAAGTGTCTTGTAACAGGGGAGGACCATGTATATGCTACAATAACAGTACTTGTTGCATTTACAACTTGTCTAAGTCCTAGCATCTACTGATTTCAGCTAGTGTATAGCTGTGGATTGACTGCATTGTTTGAATGTAATAGTGGCAGTTAATTTGAGAGAATTAATGGAGTCATTCATCTAAAGCCAGTTAACAAACATGCAGTGCAGACATTTTTCACATTCATTATTTTACACCATCTTATCACAGCACTGGCAATCCAAGGTTGACCAACTCCCTGACCAAAATGGCTGATCTTTATTCCATCAGAAGAAGCTTCATGTCCATTCTGGTATTTTAATTCCTAATTCTTTTGGGTTGGGGCCTCCCAAGCCTGTGTGGTACGCCAGTGACTGTGGTCCTAACAGACATTGATACTGCAATCAAAGCCATAACATTTAATGTCATAACTCCAAACGTGTTGTCACTAAGGCAATGAGTTTATCTACACCCCTATTATAGCCATTTGGGCCTGGTTTCTCCTGATCACATGGTCAGAAAAGACTCCTGACCCTATAAAGTAATAATCACACCATTTGTCCCACCTTTGTCCCACCAGACTGTATGGGAGGATAATTCTCCATGATCTATGCATTATGATTCCCATCACAGGCAGCAGTCATGGCTATAAGCCATCTGCTTTTGCTCTCTTCTGACAGGAGAGTGGAGAGTTCAGTGTTGCCCTGAGCGACGTCCTGATGGCCTGGAAACACTTACTGTTAGACAAACTTCACCTGCCCCTTCACGTTGACTCTCCCCGACCAGAGAACTATGACATCATCAGGAAAGAATACGACTCCTTTCTGAAGCGCACCAACACTATGGACCTGATTGATATCCACTCTATGTACAAACAGCTGAGGGTTGATCCGGACCCTGAGGAGCCTCTGAACTCAGTGAGTATTAGGCCTGATTGAAACTAGGATGATGGACCATGATTGGACATTTTAGTCAACTGTTTGATATAGTCTCAAAGGCCAGCTCAGCCAGTTAGGCTAACTGCCAAATCTGTGTTCATGTTGTTGCCAAGGTCCAGCTGTTTCAGTTTCTGTCCAGTAACATGGAGACCTATGAGGTGAGGAATTCCCTGTCCCAGGTCCCCTCGACCCCATCAAGCAAGTCAAAGCCATGCAGCACACAGGTAAACATACAGTACCAGTCAAAAGTTTGGACACACCTACTCATTCAAAGGTTTTTCTTTATTTTTACTGTTTTTTACATTGTAGATTAATAGTGAAGACATCAAAACTATGTAATAACAAATATGGAATCATGTAGTAACCAAAAAAGTGTTAAACAACTCAAAGTATATTTGAGATTTTTCAAATAGCCACCCTTTGCCTTGATGACAGCTTTGAACACTCTTGGCATTCTCTCAACCTGGAATGCTTTTCCAACAGTCTTGAAGGAGTTCCCACATATGCTGAGCACTTGTTGGCTGCTTTTGCTTCACTCTGCCGTCCGACTCATCCCAAACCATCTCAATTGGGTTGGGGTCGGGTGATTGTGGAGGCCAGGTCATCTGATGCAGCACTCCATCACTCTCATTCTTGGTAAAATAGCCCTTACACAGCCTGGAGGTGTGTTGGGTCATTGTCCTGTTGAAAAACAAATGATAGTCCCACTAAGCCCAAACCAGATGGGATGGTGTATCGCTGCAGAATGCTGTGGTAGCCATGCTGGTTAAGTGTGCCTTGAATTCTAAATAAATCACAGACTGTGTTACCAGCAAAGCACCCCCACACCATGACACCACTTCCTCCATGCTTTACAGTGGGAGATACACATGAGGAGATAATCCGTTCACAAAGACACAGCGGTTTGAACCACAAATCTCCAATTTGGACTCCAGACCAAAGGACACATTTCCACCGGTCTAATGTCCATTGCTCGTGTTTCTTGGCCCAAGCAGGTCTCTTCTTCTTATGGGTGTCCTTTTAGTAGTGGTTTCTTTGCAGAAATTCGACAATAAAGGCCTGATTCACACAGTCCCCTCTGAACAGTTGATGTTGAGATGTGTCTGTTACTTGAACTCTGTGAAGCATTTATTTGGGCTGCAATTTCTGAGGCTGGTATCTCTGGGTCTTCCATTCCTGTGGTGGTCCTCATGAGAGCCAGTTTCATCATAGTGCTTCATGGTTTTTGCGACTGCACTTGAAGAAACTTTCAAAGTTCTTGACATTTTCCGTATTGACTGACCTTCATGTCTTAAAGTAATGGACTGTTGTTACTATTTAGTAATTTTGGTTGTTCTTGCCATAATATGGACTTGGTATTTTACCAAATAGGGCTATCTTCTGTAAACCCCCCCCTACCTTGTCACGACACAACTGATTGGCTCAAACGCATTAAGAAGGGAAAGAAATTCCACAAATTAACTTATAAGAAGGCCCACCTGTTAATGGAAATGCATTCCAGGTGACTACCTCATGAAGCTGGTTGAGAGAATGCCAACAGTGTGCAAAGCTGTCATCAAGGCAAAGGGTGGCTATTTGACAAATCTCAAATATATTTGGATTTTTTAACACTTTTTGGGTTACTACATGATTCCATGTGTTATTTCATATATTTGATGTCTTCACTATTATTCTACAATGTAAAAAATTAAAAAATAAAGAAAAACCCTTGAATGAGTAGGTGTGTCCAAACTCTTGACTGGTAGTGTATGTTCATACATGCTTATGACATATCAGCATTATACTGGTCAGCATAATGTAAGCAAACTGACTCTCCATTCTCTCCACTCACATAAGAGAAGGTGGTTTGGCCAGAATATTAAATGTTACATTGGCTCATATCATTGTGCAACCGAGGTACTTTCTTTCACTGTTCGCTCTCGTTTTCCCAGTCAGTCTGGCAAGCCTTTCATTCTCGTTGAGCTTTTCCAGTCTTTCTCAGGCACTGGAATCTGTCTCGCTCTTATTAACAGGAACTTTAAATCATATCACTCAGATTTAAGAGCGAAATGTGAATTAAATTACCAGGCAGATGTTTTAAAACACAACAGACATTGTGGGCTAGGACATGCGCTGCTGCAGCCCAATCTCTCTCCACCAGGCTGCTGCCCTGTCAACTGTCTGATTTATGAGTGGGTAGAATACAGGTTGCTACTGTAGTACTGCTTGGGGTTGACAAGGTTTATGAAATGTTGGTTTGGGTTGAAGATGGTGTTCTGACTTTTAAATGGGGCCGTGTGTGTTGTTTGTGGCATCGGCTGGTGTTTTAAAGGCTGTTGGTAAATCTCCAATAGGTAGAAAAGGTGGTGAGGAGGGTCTTCTGCTCCTATCTGGATCAGCTGGTCAACTCTAAGAACGACATGGCCCTAGCGCACACCCTTGACACCCCCAATAGGTCGCTCGGACGTAAAGCTTTTACTGACCTGAAGCGTGAAGCACGGAAGCAAGAACATGTCACTCTTCTTGGTAAGAATGACAAATTGGCCTCTACTCTTTCCATGTCTGTTTCTTATCATTACACTGACCTATGGGTTTAGCCAATGAATGTTGATGACATGACAATCATATGTCTCATAATGTTAATCATCTATATATTGCAGGCTGTGACATCCTTTGTTAGAGCAGTCCAGCTGGGAGGAAAGGGCTATGCCCCCGCTGAGTCTGACCCCCTGAGGAAACATGTCAAAGGCCTGTCAGACTTTGTCCATTTCACAGACAACCTGGAGGAGATACTGGGAGACAACCCTAACCCAAGGTACACAAGAAGCCGAGTACACAACAAGCTGGGTTGTATTCATTAGTGCACATCGTAGCAAAATGTTTTGAATTGGAAGGTAAAAATCAACCTTTCTTGTTGGATATGTTCATGTACTGTAGTCCCTCCTGGTTTAGTCTGTTTTCTTCTGTTTGGTGCCTAATGAATACCACACTGACCTGGCAGACTCCCACTCCGCTTACCCTTGTCATCAAATCCCACCTGCCCATTGCTGTGTACAGATCTGATTTCCCCCCTAATGACTTCTGCCCCAGGTTCTCATGATAGCATGTGAATTATTAAAATGTTTTTTTTTTTTTTAATCGGCTACATCAAAGTACAATTGACTAAAAGTCAAAAGATAATTTGTTCCTTCCTTGGTTTGATTACTTAGTTAAATTATCATCAAACTTTAAGATTTCCTTGATCATTCATGGCCTGTGTATAATTGCAGATTTTCTTCATCAAGCGTTTGGCAGTGCCACAAACGTGGAGATTGTTTGGTCATTCGATGAAAATGTGTGGACTGAACTTTGAGGTAAAGCAATGGGAGAAGTCATGCTGTGTCACAACAAGGCCTTATTTCCCCTGAATTCCAGTAGCAACTACAGAGCTACATGATTGACACCTCTTGGCACTCAGATATATAGCTATGGAGTCCATGATATTGGATGGATTGTCCCAGTTCCCCCATAGCAGGGGCCTTCTGGGTGTTTATGACTGAGGGTTTTCTCCCTGCTTTGCTGTGGTGCCTCTGATGGGACACTGGACTGATCTGATGCCAGAATGGCTCTTTCAACAGCCTGCACCCCTACCTCCCCTTTCACACCCTCAGTGGAGTACTGTATTACCACACACACAAACACCTTCTCTGAAGGGTTCAGGGCCTCTTGTTCAGCTAACATCTGTTTTCCCAGATTATTCTGTTCTGGAGGCTCACTCCCCTCTCATAATATCTGGGTCAGGGATCCTAGCCTGCTCCTTCTCCACCCCACCTTGCTTCAGTGTTTACACTTGCTGATCTTTTCAAACACCCCAATAATGTTGCAGTCACTTCATGGTCAGTGATAAGAGTGACCCCTAGAAAAAGGGAGTGTCATTATCCATTTGGTAATGACCACATTCCAATCTCTGTAGTGCATCTTTTTACTCGAGGCCGATAAGTAGAGGGCTGCTTGACTTTTCTTCCTAGTGGATTAGATAATTACAAGCATTTTATATTTTATTTACACCTGTTTTTCTCAGTATTGCTGGCGTTCGTCTGGTGACCAGTATCAGGGCAGCTCTGTTGAAGGGGCGGGCCAGTGGCGACGTTGTGTACGCTGCAGCTGACAAGACCGCCAAGGACCTCAAAGAGAGGATCTCTCAGATCCACCTGTCCCACAGACTGCAGTCGGCTAGTCGGACAGGGATCAGCCCAGCCAGGGTATGATACCTTTCTGGGCCAACAGATCCAACCTCTCTCACCCTACATGTTCATGTCAAGGCCCTTTTCGTTTGATCCCCATCAACGCCATCATCTTAACACTATAGTGTTTTGTGTATTTCCCCTTCAGCCCAGATACCATGCTATTAACCACGCCACTGCATATGGAGGTCGGGAGACTGTGAAGGTCCTGATAATGTTGCTGGATGAAGATGCTTTGGCACCGCCCTGCAGGAACAAGGCAGACCTACTCTCTGCGGATCAGGCTGTCCTCAGTGGGGAGGAGGGGACCTGCATGCTAACGCTGTTCCGGTGAGCCTCATCTCACGCGCACACATGCTAATCAAAGCTTCATATGCTAATAATGGATATGTTTTCACAGCCTCTCTAACCCCTAAATCATAAACAGCTGCTTTCAATCTCTGATTGCTTCTGTGTCCTCAGATCCCCAGAGGTTCCCACTGGCTCCTCTCCAAAACCCCTGCAGCACCGCGTCCAGGAGCGACAAGATCAACTCAAACCCAAGGTACACACACACACAGCTCGCCTGCCTCCCACCCTCCAAGTAGGACCAGGAGACCCGAATACGAAACATCAAATAAACCAAATCAAATGTCCAAACATTGAAAAATAATGTCTTTACGTCCTGTAATTTCTCCCTGGTATTGTATTATTTATTTGCTCAGTTGACGCCCCTCATCTTATAACTGGCTTCTACACGTTCACATTTGTACAGCTGTGTTTTTGCTCCCTGCCTTTGACCAGTGTGTTGCTCTGAGTGACTCTGGGGTATAAAACTACTCCTCTACAATCGGGGGATTCAAACCGGCATCCTCCCAGTGACACGTTTTGTTATGCTTCTCAACAGGGCTCCACCCTCTTGGTTTGACAAGTAGTCAGTCAAAAGATGCTCTGCTCTTCTGTTTTGTCAATCCCTCTGAGGGTTAGCATGTTTACTGTGGTCTTTGTATAGGTCCCTAGATGTTTTCTCTCTTCATTCATTATCAGTAGGGCCAGGATGATACCAGTATCGCAGTATTTTTTTCCATGGCAAAAATGAAAACACGAAGCAGACAACTCATTGGGCCTTTAAAAATACAGGTTGCCTGCTATAGCTTGGAAAATAAATAAATGTTACTCTGGATGACATAATGTTTGTTTCCAACATTAGGGCCGTTTTCCTAAAGTGAAATCCGCTTAATGTTTTGTTTCCTTGCCGCGATACTAACGAGTAGCGCGATACTGGTATCGTCCCGGCCCTAATTATCAGGATGTGTAAACCGATTGATATAACCAACGGATGTGGAGGGATTCTCAGTCAGTCGTGTGGTGTTTGCAGCCTGGAAGGCTCTGGGCTTATAGACAGTTATAGGATGGAGTCCTGGTGCTAACTCACTGTGCTCGTCATTAACAAGTATACCATTCCTCAAAAGCACCCAGAGCAAAAGCAAATACAACCTAGATGTAGAAACTGCTTACTCATCTAAAACTGATGAACAATGACAGTTTTTGCGATTTTAAAGGGTCTGGGTTGTTCTCAGTCTCTACATGGAATAAACTGCTTGAACCCCTTTTCAAACGTGTGCTAACCACATTTTGTGGAAATGGGCTCCTTTATTTGATTGCGCTAGCAGATGTCACTTTAGCTCCCCACATTCTGGCTGTCTTCCTGTGAGTGCGCTGTAATGGTCCCTGGGCAGCTCACCGCTTCCTGAACTCGGCAGGCGGAAGCTTTCTGCATCCACTTCACTTTAAAGATGCCATATCAGTCGCCTAACTCGACTAGTAAGGAAACTTGAAAGGTTATTGTTTCCTGTTGTCTGCTGAATGTCTTTATCCACCTGGACCCCTCTCCAATAGTTTCATCATACGCTGACGTCAGTCAACTGGCACACGTGCAGATAGTCACATTTAGTTTCTGCATTGTGGGTATTTTTTCCATGCTTTTGTGTCGGTTTCAGACAGATTAAACACGGCAAACTTATCACTCAGCAAATTAAGTGATCTTAATGATGTATTGAATTGCATCATTTGGATGAATAGTATGATACCTTATTGGTTGATGTCTCTGTGATAATTTGATCTCGGTAACAAGATGCCTTTCAATGCTTTAAAGTATTTCCTCTTCCCCATGAAATCAAAGCTGGCTCATCATAAGAAGAGCTACCATAAGAACACAATGCGTCTGCCAACTTCTCACCTAATATCCTGATCTTGCAGGTGGGCTACTGGGCTTGTGTGCGCATTCAAAAACAAACACCAGACCCGAGAACAGAGCAATTGCTTTTCCTGCTGTTCCTTGAGGTGTCATCAGGATGGGCTTACCTTCGCCTGGCCAGGCCAACCAGCTTACCTTAGCCTGGCCAGGCCAACCAGTCTATAGGGGTTGTCTAAGGACAGCCTCTGAAGCGGTGCCCCCCCCCCCCCCCCCCCATGTCGTCCTCTCCCTGTAATAGAACTAGATACTGCTCTTTCCACCTGCTATAATTGCATTAAGCGTGGACTGCATGTCAGGAGGACGTCATGTCAGTCTTCTACCTCCCTGCCTGCGTTATGTTCTTCCCTGTCTGTCATTATTTCTGGCGTTAGCGAGGTGTTTTATTAGCATGCAACGAGGGTACGTGTACATTTCATGCCTGGTGATCCGAGGGTTCATTGTTGTTTTAGGTGCTCTTTTGAGAAGTTCTTTGAATAGCCTTCGCTCAGGGCTTTGATTCCCCCCCCCTCTTTCTTTGCTTTGCAGTCCCACCCAGCTTTGCACTGCGTTCTTTTTTCTCCACTGGATTCCTCCTTCCCTACTGCGGCTCTGCTGATGGCCAGGAGGGAGAAATCCTTGAGTCGTGATAATCCCCAGCAGGCCTAGATCAAACGGATGATAAAGGAGTGGATCAGACAGGGCCCGGTTTCCCGATAGCGATGGAATTTAGGCTTACGAGTGTTTTTAACTATTAATCTTTCCTACAACGACTGAATATGTAACATGCGTTTCTCAAAACACCACACAGAGAGAAGGGTCGCTAAGTGCATCGTTGGAGCATGTGTCTATACTGATAGGTTTGAAACGGAGCGCTGCTCTCGGATCCACTGCTCTCGGATCCGCTTTCTCGATTCAAATCTTTCCTTAACTTTTTAAAGAATTATTTCACAATACTTACAACAGATCAGTTCCGATAGATATTACCACCTATGGCTGCAAATATTGACGTGGCTTATTGTAATGCGTACCCAATAAAAATGTATTTAAACAACTGATTTGGCACATTGCGCACATGATAAACTACAACATGAAATGTATTGCGAAATGAAGTAGCAACATATTCAATTGCTTGAACATAATATTAATATTTTAATTCGGTTTTCATTTGAAGCATCTTTTTATACGTGGCTTGTTTGTCAATTGCAAAGACATAAACTATTCAACTTTGGTCTGAAGTTATTGGTGGCTATGTTTAGCGGAGATCTGTGTATAAAGTGATGCGGGAGGCAAAAAAGCATCTGATGCACTTAGCTGTGCGAGCATTTTCAAGTGCAACATTGACGAGGGTTCAAGTAACAGCTCTGAGATTTAACACTGCTTCTAGGAAGGTTCTAATGATGAATTTAGCCTTACGATGCTTTTGGGAAACCGGGCCCTGAGCCCTATACTACATACGTGGTTTGAGGAGTTAACGGAGGAACTTTGTTCAACTCGGGATAGCCTATTCCAGTGGGGATTGTAGCATGTAAATCTTGGTGGGGCAAACTCCCCAAAAATGTTTTAGATGCATGCCAGCAAAGCCACTACACAACACTAAACAATACATTAATTCCGAGTTGGATGACCTTTCAAAACGTGTTTTCCCTGTCGGAGCTAGTTTTTTTTTCACCAGAGTTCCCAGTTGTCTTGAACTCACTGAAGTCTGAGATTTCCGAGTTTCCAGTTTTTAACACCGCAGAAGTCATGCTGGATTGACAGCATGGCCAATGTATTCAACCTTTTCTGGCCCATGATGTTGCATGTGAATGTTTATCCTTTTAAGCTTGGAAAAGAGACCCTTAAACCCAGACTTGGACCACACACCCTCTCCACTGATTTGCAGGCTAGTGATTGCTTTGCAACGCTTGCAGTTAGCCATTGATTCCTTCCAAACCACTTATTGTTGAATTTGCGATTTCCAACTTGTTGTTGTGTAATGTTTATGTACAATGGCCGATGAGCACCGATACATTTCATCTATATAATTTATCTTCATATGACAAGAATTTAAAAGGATTTGCCAGGAGATTGTAGACTTGATTCATGATGACTGCTTGTCTAGCTTGCTAGCTAAGGTTTTGAAAGTATGATGTTAACATTTTTATTTTGTTATTTAACTAGTTAAGTCAGTTAAGAACAAATTGTTATTTACAATGACGCCAAACCCGGACGACACTGGGCCAATTGTGCGCTGATGCCTCAAGCACTGAGTTGCAGTGCCTTAGACCGCTGCGCCACTCGGGAGGCCAAGACCTTGAGCCTTCTTGGATGGGCACTTCTAATGTAAATCTATGGCAGCACCCAAGGGGCTTCAATTTTCGAGCTCTCCCCGTAGATTATGCGGTGACATAGTGTCCCCATGAGTGACAGAACACTGAGCCTACCATGGCGCAACTCGAGAACATTACCAACCCCTATGCGCCGTATTTTCCGTTGGCTGCCCCACCACCACAGAGAGCACTGAGCTCGCCCGAAACGGCTGCATTTTGGAGCTGCCTTACTCAAGAAAGCAAAGAGAATGTTTGGATGCGGCTTTATTAACGCAATTATTAATTTTTTTACTTAATTTTTTTTGCTAAATAGGTCACCTGCCCTGAATGACAGGTCGCCACTGGCCAGTTCCACGAAAGTGCTCGCTCACCTTTTAGCGAGGTACATTTCTATAGCAACGAATCCTTCAGAACTAACCTGCTCCCGGGCAGACAAACTCCATTTATCCTGAATGAAGTGTCTGAGCCACAAGTTGAGGACTGATAAAAATCAGATTCCCTCCCTCTCACAAATATTGCATCATCCCCTTAATTTGAGGAAGACTATGGATTTAAAAATATTTGATCAAATGTTCGTAATAATAAAAATACAAGTTTAAAATACATCACGTTACAGGTATCCTAGTGGTTAAGAGCATTGGGCCAGTAACCGAAAGGTCGCTGGTTCGACTCCTCGAGCTGACTAGGTGAAAAAGCTGAGCCTTTGAGCAAGGCACTTAACCCTAATTGGTCTAAAATTACACTTCAATAATGACAATGCATTTGAAACTTCACGCAGAGTAAAACTTGTATGACGTAATGCAATTATTTTATCAATAGGAGTGGGGGGGAAGGGTGCTTGTGCATTAATAAGCACACCAAAGACAGCAAAACTATATTTAATAAAATAAAGTCTGCACTTCATCAAGCCTATTTCACACCATAGCCTGCGGAATATGCAATTACTTTTATTTCATTTTGATTTCGACAAACATACAAATGTGGCACTGACTCGCCCATGGATTGAGGTTTTGGCATTGTCTCAATGAAGAGTTCGGCATTTGACTAGCCACATGTGACATGCACGTGCTGTTACAAGCCTGCTAGCTTCATCCATACTGTCATAGTATGGATGAAGCCTGAGATAGCCAGCATCAGTTAGCTTCACATTCTATCTTTAGAAAACCCTGAGTAGATCTAGCTTCAATCATAGTATTCCCCTGGGGCTGCTGGGATTGTGGGCCCTGGAGATCAGACTCACTACTTTTCTTGGCTGACCTCAGATCAGTTGTGACATCATAAAAAATTAAAGGTCTACTAGGTTCAGGTTCATTGTCTAATGGAAGCTTGGCTGATAAATGTTTTTCCTCCAGAACTTGCAGCAAAAGTGTTTTGATAAACAAGTCTGTTCCTGGAGCGCTATCATCCTGTAGGTTCACGCCAACCCTAATCTAGTGCACCTGACCCTAATAATTAGCTGGTTGATCCAGTTCGTTACAACTGGGGTTGGAGCAAAAACCTAGAGGAGGGTAGCTCTCCAGGAACAGGGTTGGAGAGCCTTGAATGTTTCTCTCCATTTGTAGGCCAGAGAGCGAACCATCCGATCTCAGTTTGCCTGCACGTACCAGGACGACTCGGCGCTGCCCCTCAACCGCGTGCTGGACTTCCCCAGCACCAACCAGGTTCCCACCTGTGTGCACCCGGCTCTCAAGCGGACCCTCACTACTGTGGAATCCACCTCTGCTGTCAAGGAGCTGGGCAGAGGTAAAAATGTCTAGTTGTTACATCATTCTCCCTTTCTCACCAGAGACCTGTAACTGCATGTCCTAGTCTGCATGCGTGCTGATGAACTGCTCCAGATTTCATCACATATAGTCCAGCGTAGCTACATACACACAAAACAACCCCCCCCCCCCTCTTCAGGGATTGGCTTCTATTCCCTCTGACGGCACAGATTCGGATCGATGCCCAGACCCACCTTCCCTGCCCAGTCCCAGAACCCTGCCCAGTCCCAGTCTTGGGACTGGTACTTACGATCAACCTTTAAATGATTCCCCATTTTATAAAACCTGGCCGCCCCACATCTGTAGTAAAAACCTAAAGAACGCACTCTTCTCCCTCCCTCCCTTTCCTTTACTCTTTCTTTCTGTGGGAATCCAGGCTCCGCTCCATCGGGTTACATGACAAATGTTAACTTTCAGCTCGCTAGAATAAACACTCTGGCTGTTAAACTGCAGGCTAACGTCAGCAATTTCATCAGAGTTTTTTTTTTCTCCCCCTTTCCTTCCTCTCTTGTTATATCATTTTTTTCGACCCTGATTGTTAAACTCTATTACCGTTTCCTCTCTCCAGTGGAGGTTGACCCAGAGGCTGGGAGGAAAGAGGCCCAGCGAGGAGGCCTGTCCTGGGGGGTTGCCGCAGCACTGGGGCCCACGAGTGGAAATGATGCCCCAAGCAGGAGAGCTGGCGGGGGCAGTCGGAAGACCAACATCCAGACAGAAGGAAGCAGCAAAGCCTGTAAACGGAAGCTGGTGGATTGTAGCGAACACTGTGGGTCAGAGAACCAGCCCCCTCTGAAGAAAACCCCTAGCAGTGTAACATCAACCAAATTGGCAGGGAAGAAGGGTGAAGCTAAAGCCCCCAGTAAGAAGAAACTGATTGCCGGACAGTGCAAGCTCACCAGCTTCTTCAGATTGTAAACTACTCATTGTAGTGTTGTGTAGAAGGCAGTACTAGTAATGTCACTTTATTTCATCAATGGTCTGTCTTCTTTGAAGCTGAATGTTCTGTAATCAATTGCACTTGTTTTTCCCCCCAGGGGAGCTTGGCCTATTTTCAGAGGCTTTTATTGTAGTCGTATTTTTATTGGATTTTTTGTATATTAAAAAAAAAAAAAAAAAAGTTTGCCTCTGTTGTGCTTTCCAGCGATTGACAGACATCATAATTTTAAAAGAAAGATCACCAGCTGTAGTGTGTCTGTGGGCGAGTGTAACGCAATGATAAAAAAGAGCTGTTGCCCATGAGGCAATGTGGAAAGTCTGAGAGTGGTTGAAACCCAAGCAGATCTGTTTGATAGCAGATCAATTTCGGCTTGGCCTGCAATTTATCTCCCTCTAAGACAAAGGGCCCACTGCCAGACACTTATCCTCTCTGACATGTATCTTCACTACTACTATCATACATTTTATACTGTATATCTTATTTACTTTCACCTGGACAACGTTGATTTTCCAAATGGAGCTATATTATGTGACCCAGAATTGAAGCTTACAATTGTTTACAGGTTTTTCTAAGCATTTTAATAGTTATTTGATTTTATACATGTTTGTTTTTTTAAACTCTGCCATAGAGATTTAAGGAACAAATAAGGAAAGCATATAGAGTTATGCAGGAGATTGACAGACGGCAGGGCAGCAGTGTATGATCCACCACACTCTTCTTATCTTTGCCAACAGGGTCGGTACACTCGACCAATCATGCATCGGAGCACTGGAGGGAATAAAATTGGATGAATTGCAGTGATTTAAAACAATAACTGTTTTTAATGGTGATATCATAACCTTCAACAGCCTTCAGTTTGTCACTTTTTATAGTCTGAAATTTCACAAGTCCAGCTGATAAAACTCTTGTTCCAAGTAATAAATAGAACATGGTGGAAAGTATCAACACCCTCATTTATGGTTTTAATGTCAGTATCGTGTAATCAACAGTCACCCATTTGACATGCTGAATGACAGTGAGCTGGATCTTTCTAATGAGAACTATTGAACAGATACAGGAACCATAGAAGGAAAAAGAACAAAAGGAAGTCATTGGTCGATACTTACTATCAAGGTCGTCCTCCCTGCGCTCTACTTTCAGGCTATTTTCAGTAGGAGCGTGATCTCTTCCTCTGTCTGGGAGGACAGGAAGGGCTCGGGAGAAAGCTGTGTTCATGCCACGTCTGGTGTGCCCTTTCAGTCTGATGTCCTGTGGGACAGAAGGCTAGGTCACTGTCTGGCTGGCTTCCATCAGAGTGGCTCAGCCAGTCTCTACATTAGTATTTTATTTATTTATTTTTTAGTATACTCTGTCCACTGAAGATTCTATTGCACAATCAGGTCTGGTGAACCAAAGCCGAAGGTTATCTAGCTTGCATGATACAACAAAGATACAACAATACACATGAAAGGGCTATAGAATCCAATGTCCAAATTAATGGGACTTTGGGATGGTGTTTTTCTTTTCCATTCATTTGGGAATGATGCATGCCATTTGCCAGATGGACATTTAAGAAGCGGCACAGATCTTCTGGGTCTCAAACCCCGGCCTACTGGACCTGATCCAGGCCATATGAAACCAGTATCAGAGGGTCCCCAGTTATCCAGACATATCATCTGCCCAAGTGGCTTTATAGCTCCTCTCCTCATCCCTCTCTCCTGTTCCATTACATCAGAGATAACCATGTCCATGACGTGCATGCCATACAGCTACTAGACTAACTGATTCACTCCACATGCCTGCCAAACCTTTGATGGAGCACAGACACTATCGTACATTTTGCCACTTTGTGAATCTAATAAAGATAAACGCCTGTCCTTTTCATCTTTGTTTGATAATGGCTGACGTTTGAGCGAATGTAAAATATTGGCATATGGAACACACTGTATTGATGCTGCTACTGATGAAAATGAGAGTTAAGAGGAAGATTGGTATGATGATGATGGACATGGATGAAGGAAGATACTTACTGAGAGGATGAAGATCTTTGTGTTCCCCTCTTCGTCCAGCCCGAGTCCGTTGTCCAGGATGGGCTCCCGTCTGAACCTCGGGGCAGCCAGAGCGTTGTCGCTCATCGTGTCTTCGCCTAGTATGGAACGCAGGCTCTCCTGCTCTGTCCTACCCTCCTCCAGCTTGCCTGTTGGTACAGCTAAGACGGCCAAGCGGGTGCTAAACTCAGAGAACAGCACCAGTGTGAATACAACAGAGTATAGGGAGATCATGATTCCTACTACACTATCTTGGTCCTAACGGCCTTGCGAGGGTCATTGAGAGTGGACTTCAGTTGCGCTCACCTGTGATGACTGTTCACTTTCAGTGGCCCATCAGCTCTTTTTATACCACGAAAAGCCAAAACTGGATTTTTTAATCATCATAACAAAGCCGTCAAATATGTGCATAGAGGAGATTTGAAGTCTCCCACTGAGCTTGGCCCATGTCATCATTGAAAAGGCACAGGTCAAAGGTCATAGCAAATTTGTAAAGCAGCTTTGGATGCTCCTTTATGAAGACTAATAAGAAGGGAGGATAGGTAAATAATAGCTGGATTACTGTCAGGTGTAAGGACATGCTGTATTTGAAAGAGAGGAGCAACATCTTTTCAACAGTCATCTCTTCCCTCCTGTAGAGGGGTCTCCTCAGGCCTCTCAAAGATCATAGGTCTCAAATTGGTCTCACAAAGGTCTCACTTCTCAATACTGTCCACTTTCAAAGGTGGAAAGTAAAAGGTGGAACACATGCCTACTGTGCAATCTGAAAGAAACCAACAGATTGCCCACAGTGACTTATTACCGAACTACGTAAATGGCTACAGGCATCAATGCTCTTTGTGGGGAGAGAATATCATCCAGGGTGGACAGTCCTGGTATGAATAGAGGCTGGGTCACTAGGGTCATGTCATCAGACTTCAACAAGACCAATAGAGAATGAAAACAGAGACCCAGGTAGCATCAACCTGAAATGACCTATTGGTAATTGGTGATTGGGTATACAGCCTTACCGGTTGGGTATTAGGTGGGAGGAAGTCCCTGACTTTTCTGACAACATAACCTGAAAGGATACTCCAGGCGCTAGTTATAGGCTATGTAACTATAGTTTATTCTGTTCTGATCCCATGGTCACGGGTCAGGAAAAACTCAGGGTTCTAGTCATTAGAACCTTGAGTGTTAGCTTCATTGCCCCAGGGCTAGGCCCTTCCCATAATGAGAAGCCCACTGACCACCATCTGTGGCATACATGGCTGATCACCTCATGTTCACAAGGGTAAAGGCCGTGAGTTTAGGGAAATGAGCGCGGAGGAGTTTTACAAACGAAAACAAAAGGCCTTGTTGACATAGCTCTCCCAAGCTCCTCTTCAGTTCTTAGGAAAACCGACGACGGCTTATCTTATTAACATCACAGTAGCTACAGCAGAGGGATGGAGAAATGGGACATGAATGATAGTTATTGAACTCAGCTGAAGTGATTTTACTTGGAGTGCACAGCCGTTATTTCGTGAGTATTTTTGTTGGCGGCTGAGGGGCTCTAGTGAAGGACTGAACTGGTCTGCAGGGGCCCGACTGTTCCAGGAGCAGCACAACTCAACTTGTGAGCTTCGAGCTCTGTTGTTCTAACCTCTCTCTCTCTCTCCCACTCTCTCGCTCTCACCGTCACTCATTCTCTCTCTCTATCTCTTCTCATCCTCGCACTCATCTCTCTCTCTCCTCTCATCTCTCTACTCTTCTCTCTCTCTCGCTTTCTTCCAATTCTCTCTCTCCTCTCTCTCTCTCTCAATTCCTCCTCCACTCTCTTCTCTCAATTCTCTCACTCTCTCTCTATCTCTCTCTCTTCTCTCTCTCATATCTCTCTCTCTCTCTCCTCTCATCTCTCTCCCTCCTCCTCTCTCTCATCTCTCTCTCTCTCTCTCTCTCTCTCTCTCTCTCTCTCTCTCTCTCTCTCCACTACACTCTCTCTGATTGTTATGCTCTCCATCTCTCAGCATGTGTATCCACTTGTGTATCCAATGTGAACAGCTCAGTCCTGTGGTATATTTTGTATTTCAGCATGTTAAAACACAATTGATATCAAATTGTCTTATATCAGCCCCGCTCTCTTATCTTGGAAGACCCTGCAGCTAAAGCATATGTTGATGATGGTTCTTGATTCCATCCACCTCCTTGCTTCGATGACCTTTGAGATGGTGAGGCTCAGGCTCTTTATCTGGGGGTTCTGCTGTTTTCCCCTGAGTTAAATTTCTAGGAAAACATTACCATAAACTAAAGGACATTAACATAAAAGAGAAGATTAAAGTTATCTTAAAAGAGCAAGATGTGATTTCCATTGTGTTCTCAGGTCATATTTGTTTGATCTCCTTTGAAGTCAAAGGGAGATTTGAACATGAGCGTTTACCAATCTTCAGCTGTTGGATCTGAGAATCTGTGCACCTTGTTCTGCTGTTTTTATTGGCTCAACCAATACATCATGAAACATTTCAATTGGGTAATAAACAACTCAAACATAGGGATCAGGAGAGGTAAATAAGTGTGTATTTTATGTGGAACAAAAACAGGACACCGGTGATATCTTTATTTTCGGAATAATTACTTTTAATAATAATAAACACACTTATGTCAAAATATATCAGATCAGATGAAACTGTTGATTGACTTGTCACAGTATGTCGCTACTGCCTTTATATTCGTTATCTTGGTTCAAAGTTTCCCTCTGTGGTTTTGACAGCTTAATTGCCCTTCAAAACTTGGAGAGATGGCTGGCTGTGGGACATTTTTCCTATCATCTCTCCCTGCTGCTTGCGTCACCTGTCAGGGGGCGGTGTTGTAATTCGGTCAAATACATCTTTCAGTCAGAACCGAAACCCTCTGAAGTCCCCGCCAGATGACATCAGCAGCATCATGTTATGGTTCTCTGTGGAACAACATATTATTTCCTTGTCCTGTTTTAACACGCCGTTTTTCATCGGCGACTCTCAACTCCTATTGTAAAAACAGTACAAGTGTAAGAGCTGGGAGGACGGTCCAGGAGTGGAGTACGTAATGCTGGGAGATCCAGGATACTCACTATGTACAGATTTTTGTTGTTGTTGTGAAGATAAAGGTGGGGGCCTTGAAGTCTGTCTGGTGTGGGGGTGGATGCTTGGAGGTGGGGGCCTTGAGGACTGTCTTGCAGCAGGCAGAGTTGTGGGTGTAAGGGGCTGCGATTGGGCAGGCCTCTTTGTTGCCCAGAGAACAGACCATGGTTTCCTGGAACAATGCAGCTGATGAGAGGCTCTCCAAGGAAAATATGGGTCTGACATCATGGGTTCTTAAAGCACACAGCTGAGCCAACACTCTCCTGCCATAATCAGTGCTCAGTGAATTTCCACTGCTGAGGAAAAATAAGACAGAGAAGCCCCTATGGGCATGGGTCCCTTCCCTAACACCCAGGTATGGCTAGAAGTTCAAATTGAGAGTTTCAGTTTGAAATGCATAATCCAATGATATACAAAGTTAATGTGACATTGGCTGGTGTCCTAAGGAGAGAGGAAAGCCAGGAAACAGTAGTGATGGGGAAAGATGCTTAGTTGAAGGACTAATATACAGTGAGAACAATAAATGCAATTGCCAGTCCTTCATACTACTGTAAAAGTAATTGATACACAGTATTTATTATTAAAAGAAAACGACATAGAATTTTGCCAGATTAACACAAATCATCCCTCCCCCTAAAACAACCAAGAGGAAAAATAGTGAAATTGGAGTGTATTAAAATATACCACAAGGTCATTTAAAAGACAATAGCGTACGTAGTTGTAGTAGGGTTTTGGAGCTTCCACTTCAGGGCTGGTCCAAAGTCAGCGTCCTGAGGTGCACCCAGCCCAGAGTGCATAGAGTCCATCTGATACATTTGGGAAATAGATACTTGAGACTGCTCCTTCCAGAATCCTTCTGCTGGTGTAGCAGAGGTGAAATTGAGAAATTCACGATTAGTTAAAATGATATTACCAAATTACAAATCAGGAATTAGACCTCAGATGTTAAAGAGATTCTACTTTTTTTAACAGAATACAGCATTGAGGAAGATGTAATTTTATAAGGAATCAGTAGTTTACTATGAAGTATAAAAGTTAATTATGATGATAAACTGATTTGTTATGGTGTGGTCATTGTGGTCCAAACTACTCCATGCAGTTACCCCAATACCCAGCCTCTAATGGTTTGGGTCATTATGGTCCAAACTACTCCATGCAGTTACCCCAATGCCAAGCCTCTAATGGTTTGGGTCATTGTGGTCCAAACTACTCCATGCAGTTACTCCAATACCCAGCCTCTTGTATCCAGCAGAGGTTTCTTGGAGATTTATTTAAACTCTAAATCCTGCAAGCTTGCAAACTGCAATTTGTCTATTCGGGCCTAATAATTGATCTTATATTAGTCATTGAGAGGCTTGGATGAAATACCATCCAGAATCCCCTTGGCCAGACGCTTGCCAACTCCCTGCTCCACACTTGAAACTGTTATGTCTGCTGAACGGAAGCCAGAAGGCTAATTTATCTGTGGAAAATGACTTGTTTCGCTATATATTCATAAAAAAGTGCTGACAGCGAATGAAAGCTTTGTCCTGTCACTGCAGAGATGTCCGTCCTCTAAAAAGCTGAACACGCAGGCTCAGCTCTCCCCTCAGTGAACCCACACTGACTCTGTTTGCCTTGGCGGAACATGCCATCTTTTAGGAAGTATCATTTTGTGTTCAGTTTCAGACTGATGGTGAAATGATCTCCAATCTGAATCATGGGTTGACACACAGCCGACGGACATAATAGATTTATATAGTTTCTGCACATGCTCAGAGAGACAAGTGAGCTTTGTTAGAATGCAACACTAATGTCTATGTCAGTGACACCATGGTTTATGTTACAGGTCTGGCCTTGCTGTGTATAGCTTACTGTGCTGTAATTACGTCATAGGGAGGATTGTGTGTTAATAAGACGCATTGCTGTAGAAAGTCTCCTGGACCTCTCAGTTTCATTACATCCATTGGATATTCATACTTCATTGGTTGGTTTTCCTTTGCATCAAGCGAGAGGGACATGGTGATCAATTACACTCCAAATACTGATACAAGAAAGAAAACTGTTCACCTGGTTGTTTATGTTTTTCTTCTTACGTTTGGTTGCCAAGCAACAGTGGTAAAAACATCTTCATGTTCTTTTATTAACGGATGATATTCAAAGATTTCTCAAACGTGCCTGCAGAACATTCTAACATGAGCATGACAAATGGTATGAAATAAATGCCCAGACATTGTCATAATGTTGACAAGTGGTTTATTCAGCAGGAATGGTGAACA